CTAGCTGCGTACATGTAGTTCACTCCTAGCGATTCCGATGCATAGGCTGGCATCTACCAAGCCAGTGTGGCCTTTCTCTGGTCCTAGAGATAGGCCTAGGCTGGAATTAGTGTCGCGGTTCGCTCAGTTCAAGACTTGTTTATTTTGCCCGAGACGAGGGACGCTATCGCGCATGACCTAGCGATCGTCGTAAGAATAGCATTGGGAACTATTTTCACGACTCGTCATAAAAATAATCACTGCGTATATAATTTATATAAAGGCCTAGAAATATATGCTATGGAAATTTCCCAGGGGACAGAAATTATCCCCAAGGGTGGGAAATTTATCCCCAAAAGTGAAAAATGTTTCAGTGTGGGAACAGATGGACCAAAGCCTCATCTTATAATTATAAGCCTAGACTAGGCCTAGCCTCGCAGGCCTAGGCTAGCATACAACTACTAGGCCTAGTACTACTGGGACTAGTACTAGCCTAGTAACTAGGCCTAGACCTTAGCCTAGGCTTATAACTAGACCACTCGTAACTAGGCTAGGTCTAAGTCTCCTATTTTTGTAAGCAGTGGTCTTTCTAAGGTAGGCGCCGGATTAGAACTTAGTAATAATAGGGCCTAGACTAAAGTTGGATTTTTTTCAAAGTGTGAAGTATCTAGGCCTATGCCTAGATTTTTTCTGCTGGACTGGGAAATTCCCAGCTGTTGCTGGCTGGCTGTGTAGGCCTAGGCCTAGGGGCCTAGATAGGCCCTAGCTAGAGTAGGCCTAGTTTATCTTACTTTATGTAGGCTAGCGCTTACCAAATACCATACTTACCATAGCATTTGAGGTATTAAACTAAATAAAAATAAATTTCTAATGATACACGGAGTGGTGCTGACCTATTCGTTACTTTTCGACAATATGACACTAGGCCTATCCCTATTATTAGTACACTTGCGTGAACTTGCCGATATGTCGGCCACACACACCGCGCGAAAAAACACTGCTGTACTGTGTATTTAATTTTTTAATCATCGGTCAACGCGAGTGAGGGCGCTCATCACATTTACCAAACTTTCTTCACATATTTCTAAAAGCAAGATATACAAAGCAAGTTCAAAGTTATTACCAGGAGGGCAGGTAGAATATCATGGAAGGACAGACGCGGTTAATAATGGAAGTTTCTAAAGAGGTACCTATTTATAGGCCTAAGACTCTATGTGTGTTTCGATTTTCTCCTCCAAAAGGTCTGATCTAGCTTTAGCCTTGGCTTGGGCTAGCTAGGCCTAGCCAAGAGCTACTGTACTAGGCCTACCTGCACTAGACCAAGTAGTACTTGGCTGGGCTAGCCTATATAATAAAAAGGGCCTATCTGTGGCCTGACCTAAGTTGGGCTTAAAGTGCAGCCCGACACGACAGTGATTTTTTTTCGGCCGCGAAAATGAATCGCCGTGGGCCGTGGCTAGAGATACGGTACCGTATTTCTACTTCAATTTGCTAAAAAGGTACGGTAAATGGCATTAGCCTAGGCCTAGGCCCTAGGCCATGTAAAATAAAAAAATTGGTTACCATCCTTATGGTATCAATTTTCATGGTAGGGAGGTGTTTTTTTTCCTCGCATTGAACATGAACGAAGATTGTCGCAAGGAAAAATATCAAAACAAAGAAGAAGAAAACAACAGAGACAGAAACAGAAAATTTCTGGATCTGCCCCTAGGTTGGACCAGTTTTATTACTCCTATTTTAACTGGTAAATGAATGCTTAGTTTACAGTAGTTACCCAACTTTTTATCTACCCATTTTCTGATTATTTTTTCTTGTAGTTAAATGAACAGACTGTTTTGAAAAATGAATTGTCATCATTAAAGAAAGACAGTGTAAGTACATTTTAATAAAAGTTCTTGTGAAAAATACAAAACCAGGTTTGACTTGTGGCTTCAATAACATACTACTATATGTATATATATTTCATCATACAAAAGTACAGTATTATATTTTTAATATCAATTTATTACCATCTAATGCAATTTGTAATATTCTTGTATAGAATATTTGTTATTATATTTTTAGGTTTGTGGTATTTTAAAAATACTAGATAATGATCAAATGTGTATGTAACACAAGCATGTAGAATGGGTCATACCATCCACCTAATAATAATTATAGTGATATGTTTTTATGCTGTAAAAATGTTAAATGTAAAAATAATAAATGATAAATTTGTAGATGTATTTTTGTCTCACAGAGAGTGTATGAGAAGCAGTCAAATAGTGGTATTTTCTTTTTGAGTGACCAGTCTGAAATGCTTAAAAAATGTCATCAGAAAATTCAGCGATTAAAGTGCGAGGAAGATAGATTGAAGAATCCGGGAAAATCATGAAGACATGCTGTTAGGATGCTCACCGAGCAAAACAAGACACTTAATTGTTTTTCTTTCAGAAAACATTCCAAGGGTTTAACACCACAGATACTACTATCTGCTTGTGTTACATATGTGGTACGGTATCTGATGTAATGTACAGTAGTTGTATTTGTATAGCGCCTTACACAATCAATAGATTGTCCAAAGGCGCTTAAAGTAAAAGTAAGAAATACAAGATTGATTTAAAGTGAACTAAAAAGATAGGTTTTCATCTGACTATTGAAAACACCAACTGAGGGTGACTGACAGATTGACTCGGGTAAGCTGTTCCATAGTATAGGAGCTGCAACTTTAAAGGCTCGCTCTCCATATGTTTTAAGGCAACTGGAAGGACAGACAAAACCGGTGTATTGGTAGTCGACCTAAGGGATCTAGTGCAGGTTGAAGATCTTAGTTTGATGAGATCAGAGATGTATGATAAACCACAGACGAACAAAACCAACATTTTGACATCATTTAGAATGCAATGATCATATAATATAATTATATCTGCCATTGGTCTAGATGTTATCAACTGTTAAATTTAGATATGATGGTTGTACAGGTTTATTCGTTAGCAACAAATTCCATATTGACATTAATTAATTATTACAGTATTAAATATTGTATAGTTATGGAAGATTTGTCTGTGATAATACTGAATATCATAATCATTGGTTGCATAAAAAAAATCCTCAAACCATATAAATTGAGTAATTGAAATATATGATAAAAAACATAATTAAACAATTCATTTGCTTTATTCCTTTGGATTCAAATACTCACAATAAGTCACAGATTTTTTGTGACCACTATGGACAATACATGTTAGCACATATCAGAGTATCTATATCAATTGCAGGTGGGGGGGGGGTGGGATTATTACATGCTGTACTACAGTTAAACTTGCCTAAGTCGAATAATTTATAAATTGATTTAATTTTACATGCCAAATTGTTGTGTTTTTCATTATATTGCATTATATAACAATCTGTAAGTCGAATTTTATCTAAGTCAAACAATATTTCAATGGCATTTTACATTCGACAAGTTCAACTGCATTAAAATGAAAGAAAAACGTCTGAAATAAATATCTGACTGCAAGAGAAAAACTGAATTAACATGCATCAGTTTGTTAAAAAAAATAATGCAATAATGTAAGAGATAACAGGTGTGGTGCCAGTGGGAAAACAATTTGTTGGGGAGAAAAAAAATTATGTATTTTTTACACATGTAGTAGGCTCTAAAATCAATTAAGCCTTTGAAACCCCTAAATTGTCATAGTTTCTGATGGCTTAGCTTCCAGACCACTTCTGAGAGATTTTGAGCAATGCCTGACCACACCCACTTGCGTTATCGTCGGGGACAACAGCCCTCTGTCTGGCAAATTTCGGTGCCACCCCTGACTAAATGGAAGCAACTTTAGACTTGCAATACAAGTGCAAGCCAATAAATATTCAACGTGTATTTGCTGTAGGGTGAAGGTAGCCCACAAATTGTATGCAGTTTTAGAGATAAATAAATTACGTTGATGATAACAAGAGAAATTCCATTTACTGTACTGTTTTCGTATTAAGATTTTCTGTTATCTTCCCCAACAGAAGCCTACAGTATGTAGGAATGGTACAAGCTGCAATGTCAAAAGATTTTATCAAAATTGACACCTTTTAAATTCCTTTAAAAAAAAAATAATGCAAATAACTACAAATGCAAATTCAAAGATACTACAGTAGGCAGTGGCAGAACCAGGGGTGGTGAAAGGGGGCGCTCACTTCCAAGCAGGCGTTAAAAATTCTTAATGTGGAATTATTTATATACAGTACTGTATAAACTGGCTAAAACTCTTGAGTTCCCATGAGGCATACCCACTGAACCCCCATAATTAGAAAATGAACACTCCATCCCTTAGACCCCACTCATGTCTGCCTGCACCCCACAAAATGGAACCATTCCTATAAATATTCACACGAGAATTTAAGATAAGATGTATTGTAAAACTTTAAAATTTCAGTATACTGTACAACATTCAACCATGCTAAAATAGTCATGACAAAATACGTTTTAATACTTAATACTAATTGATACCTAGAATAGCATTCTTGCCAAGTCGATCGCCTGAGGTGTCACTTAAACTAGCATCTCATTAATACTGATATGGTAACTGACTCTTAAACATAAAAATGCATTTTATTTACAAAAATATTTACAAAAGTATAGACTTATAGATTTGGATTTTACATTATTGGTCTGAGGTTAAATGTTTTTAAAAGTATACGTTAGTGAACCTATTTAAAGTTTATTACAACAGATTTGGCCGAATGTGTCCTAATTAACAGTACAACTGCATTTACACTCCAATTAAAAACTACTTTTGGGACCTGGGTTTTTATGATCTTCAACAGTTTTGGTCTTTAATTACAACAATTATTATTATTAAAATAAACGGTAGATGTTCATTTGGGGCTGCAGAAAGAAGGTGGTCTTAATGGAGGTGATCATTTAATGGTGGTGGTCTTTAATTGGAGGGATCTTTAATTAGAATGAGACCTGTATTTGCTTGTGGCACAGCTTTGTCCTAATGAACCCAATGGTTCAAAGTTGCCACTTAATAATGAGGAAAGGCAATATAACCACATTATATAAAAAAAGTACATACTTTGGGACATGTTTCTCCTATTCCCCTTCCCATAAATCTGCTGCTGACTGCAAAAGACCTGATGCCAAGCATTTTGTGTGTTGAATACAATATTATTACTGTACTGTAATATTTTTTTTTTTAAACCGCAGAACATGTAAGCATAGTTTAAATATTTTACAGGTAGGGGCTTTTAATTATAATGGTATATACAATGTACAGTTTCAGTTAGTACAATGCAATTCGACACCATTTTCGAGACCTGAACATTTGGGGTGTCTCCAATTAGAAAGTTAGCTCTGTGCTAGAAGATTGTTATTTGTTTCTTTGAAAAAAATGGTCTCAAATTAATGGGGTCTTGCATAATATTATTTTTCACTGTATGACACGGATAAAAATATGGACATTAAAACCAGTCCTTGTGATTGATATCCTCACACTCCATTTCAAATGGTTGCTGGACAATCATCACACGTTTTTGCTTTGGAATTGCAGGAAGTTTTGGGACAGATGACGGTTTATGCGAAAACAAGCCCAGAGGATCATCTAGTGCGCACATTCCATTTCTGTTAATACCGCTGCCGTGGAGAGATCGTTGCTGGTCTGCAATTGGGGTTTCAAGACCAGTTGGGCGATGGTATACTGGTGCAAGGCGTTTCTTGCGTTGCAGTCGGCTTGGTACACGCTGGGATGTTGGCGGTGGCTCTACTGTAACTTCTGCTTGGACTAAGTTACGACGACCCGTGTAAGGTCTTCTGTACACTGACGGATCTGAAGGAATGCAATCAGGCTTATCATAAATTTCAATATTTTAGGCCTCATATTTTAGTTAAAATAGATTTTTATACAAATAGTTATGCTATATACTTCTGGTTTTCATTTTATTGGAAGCAGAAATTTAACCTACATCTGAGATTTAATGCAAAAAAACCCCATTTTTTGTTTATATATTCTGTAGTAAGAAAAACCCTCAGAATTTTATTTGATTAAAAACACCTCCAATATAAACAGGTTTCAACACCACATTGGACCACTGTCAAGTTCAAAATGATTTTACTCATATAGGAGCACCCAATACATAGAAAACTTACCAAAACCTGATGAACTTGATTGGGAGATGGCCGATATTAGGGGTACAGGAACAGCTGCACCCCTTCTTGTCAACATCCTTGTCGGTACATTGTTCCCCCAATTAGCTGATGAAGTTTCATCTGTGACACTTGATGGAGGGATTTCCAGCCGCATTCCTTAGGTTAACATAAAACACAATTGTATATAAATGTAACATTATTTTGATTATATTACAGTAAAATCCAATTCTGGGTTTTATTCAAGGGTGAAAATGTTTGCTTAATAATTACATCATGTTAAAATTGTATATCCTTTGTAACATACTTAATAGAAATAACAGATTTAAGGGATAAAAGATAAGAGTAGAGTCAATAATTTAGAAGAAATCAACATTTTACACTAGTAAAATAGTAACTGTTGCACTTTCTTACTACTCCAGTAAACTAGGGACTTCTATTTTACCATTTCATAAAAAAAAAAAAAAACAATTTACATTCTCTGACTTTGTTTTAAATATTAAATTCAAATTAATTATTTGTAATCAAAGTAAACAATTTAAACTAAACTTTAGTTTAAATTCTAAAAATGCAGTTACAGTCTATAAATACAGTATATTGTTACTTTCAGTTGTGGTTGTTACTAGAATACTGTCCTCTACCAAAAACTGGCTGAAATATAAATAAAATTTACCCAATGGATCGTCGTGTGATGCTGATTCAAAACTGACTGACATTCCATCAGCATCGTCGTGGTCATCCTTCAGTCTATCTTTCTTTGCAAATGCTTTGGCTATCATTCGACACTTCTTTAATTTTTGGGGCTCGTTGATTGGTTGTCTTGTAATTCTATAAGCAATCATAATTTCATTCATCAATTAAGAAGCAATTAAAGATATGTAGTTAACATATATAAGAAAAGCATTTACGATAGTTTTACAATTGTTATTGTCTATACCAGGGCTTCCTCCATGGTATTCAGTTTAAGGCCTAGTTAAAGTCAATGAATGGTGAAGTATTACAAAGTGACTTACTTTCGCCAAGCTCTGTGCCAGATAGACAGTGTCGCTGGTGTCCAGACCCACATACTCATTGCAATACCAGCTCCAAATAGTGAGAAAATATGCAGCATGACAACAGTTAGATTGGGCTTGGAGTTCATTGAACACAAGGGTATGTGTTCAGTCTCTTCTCTCAGCCGAAGTGAGCTTACATTTGCCTCGCACCTAATTACAACAATGATAGAATAATGCATGTAAGGATGCGCTGGTAATATCACTATTTATATTCTAATTTATTTTCAATTAAACAATTTGTGCTTCTTTTTAATCAATGAGATTTTAAGATAAATTTGGTATCAAAGCTTTTTATTTGTAGAATCTAAAATTGCAACACCTGAAATGTGTATATTAAGAGGAAGTGGGAAAAAATCTAGATTTAAAATGAAAATAGCAAAAAATCTCTGTTAGTGGAATAATATTAATTGGATTTGACAATGAGGTCACACATGCTATTTAGACTGATTTTCGCTTACACTCGAAAGCCTAAAGCAAATTTAAAATAGGAATGTATATTGCTTGAGTTATAGTATTATGAAATGCTGTTACCAGAGTCAATATTGTTCCAATAAAAGCATTTGTGACATGTCGTAAGACATTGCAAAACAAATTGCTTATTTACCATGAATTGCTTTCACTGACTGCTGTTGATGCAGTAAACTCAGCATCAAGAGGGTGTCATGGGTCAAAAAGTAAAATTGTAAAGATTCAAATCAGCATTCACACATACAGTATAATTACTGTAACCATAGATTAAAATTACATACAGCATTAGTAAATTATATATTATAAGTCCATTTTATGAGAGTATTGAGTAAGGAGGGGAAGAGTTGTATAAGTCAGGAGTGGGGAAGATCAATTCTCCTTATTATTTTTATAAATATTCCTGCACAATTATTTACTGGCAGTGATGAAAACCATGTGATTCTTATAATACTTAAATGACCAAAGAAATTGACTTACACCATATAATCTCTAAATCCCTTCTCCCAAGCTTCCTGATTGGTGAATTCATAAAGATGACAAGCAAAGCTGATAAAGATAAATGAAAAGGCCAAAACGGCAAACACACCTGCAAAAAAAACCCATTATTTTAAAACACTATAAAAGACAAAACATCAAAATTATATTCATGAAAAAATATCTAAATAATTCGAATTGAATAACCACAGTCAATGAAAACAAATAAGAACATAGTACTGTAACATGAACTATAATAACATTTTAATGAGTTTTATGAGACTATAGTAGTAAAAATCTTACCAATCCTCGCAATTGTTCTGGAGATTCTCGCAGAAGCTTTCTCATTTAGTAAACTGTGACCCCCACGCTGTAGTCCACACAGGGTCATCAGACCTGCCAAAAAAAAAATAAAAAAATTTGTTATTCACTAAGCCATATCGGCATGAAAATATCAAATAAAATTGTCCAACTAATTTTCTTTGACTAATTAACAATGAAAACAGACATGCTAAAAATAAATCACTTGGTTATCTTATATCAGTGTTTACTTTTTTGAGCAGCAGTACATCTTTGGCATGTGGCAAATAGTGTTTGAAAACCTTAACTCAAAACTTAACTTTGCCTTCTTTTCACCATTGCAACTACTGTACAATCTATTGATTAATTATCAACAATGGCAAGTTTTAAGCTGCTCTCAGCAAACTGTTTATCAACTGTTTACTTTTGCTTATAATTATATACAATCTGACTGTCTGCTAATGAGTTTATCAGCTTTGTTTTCAGTGTACTGAATTTTGTTAAATTGCATTGTCATATAGTAGTTTTTGGCTTTATTAGAAAGAGAAAAGAGAGCAATTAATAATCAGGCTAACTGGCTATTCTCTTTCTTGGCAAATGTGATTATTTTCTTGGAATGACATAAATGTTTATAAAATAAACCCTACATACAAGAATTAACAGACTGACTCAATGTGGTGAAATTCAACCCCTTCCTTAATTCAAGATATCCCCGCATATAAGAAAAAAATATATTAAAATATTAGAAATATCTGGGTACCATTGATGAGGAAAAAAGCACCAATCACTAGAGCAATGCCAATAGGAGCCAAAAGGAATATTGCTCTATAGTTGAGATTCTTATAACCAACAAAACAGATGCCAGAAACAGAATCACCATCAATCTGTAAAAAAAGCAGCAAGAGCAATTGGTAAAGGATCAAAAACTAGAGAGTGCATATATAATATCAACATAATCATATATGACAATCTATGAGAATATTGCAAATCTTATGTTTGTTGTGTTTATTTGTATGAATGTGCTTATGAAAGATAAAGAAGAATGGAGGAATATAGTAGTCATGGAGCACGAGTTCACTCGAAAAATTTCAGGGCATTTGTATGATTAAATATATTTCAAGAAAAGAGAAAAATCAAATAATTCCAAGTTCTAACAATAAAATATACTCCGTGTTTTAAGCTAAAATCATTAATTATTTATATCGCTTACTTTATATATTTATGTTATTGGCACATATAACAAATTCTTGCAATCTTGAAAGTTCCAATGAGGGCAGTATAATAGAGGCAGTAGAGTATATTGGCCCTATGGCCGCCCATACAAAAAAGATTTATTAATCAATCAGCCGGCCGTTTCTAGAGCTCCTCATTGGAGCTAAAAAAATGCTTTTCCTATTTAGGGATGCAGATAGGCTGGCGGTGCAGACACATCCCCCATGGCAGCAAATTAGTTCAATTAAGTGAGTTGTAATAGGGAATTAGTTCCGCATTTTAAATTTTCACACCCTCAGTTCCATAATCTCAATTTGTACACACCCCAGGTTGAAACCAGTCTATGCCCCTGACATATCTGAATTGTATCAACAGCCTACTAACCTGATTGAAAGCCATGATGACGACAACCAGAAGGAACGGTATGCTCCAAGTGAAGAGATGGAAATAGGAGGTCTTTCCATTCATAGCATCCTTTGGCGTACCAAGAGCCTTGAAGGAAATGTGCCAAGCAAACGCTAACATCACAAACCAGATGACACCAGCCATTAGGAAGTAATATACAATGATGAAGATGATTACACACGATAGGTTTTCACCCTCACTGTCAGCAATACACAAGAAAAAAAAAATTATAAAAAAAAAACTATATAAAAGCACATAATACTAATCAACAATCACTAATAATGTTTTATATATTGTTTTTAAAGACTTAACAAGACTCGGAGATATATAGTCTTCAACCTTATCAACAAGCTAAAAAATAATGGAAAAAAATAATATTAATAAAACAAACATGAAAACATTTTTTTCAATATGAATTGTATATGAATAAGCTATAGCCATAATATCTGCGCTGGCCTATGGTTTTGGTGGTAGAACAAGTCTTCTCGGATAAGGACTATAAACCGTAGGACCAGTGTATGCAATGGCTCATGTGCACTTTAAAGAACCCAGTACATCTTTCGAGACGAGTAGGGGGATACCCCGGTGTAACAGACAGCCCCTGTGGTGGACGACGAGAGTTGCTGGTACCGGGTTACCGGGTAGTAAAGACACGAAGGGACCCTTAGGGGCAAAGAAAGTCATTGATCGAGTTCCTAGTCCACATTATCAAGCACCCTGAGCATCTTGCATTAGATGGATATGTGCGCTATATAAAACTACACTATTATTATTATATGCTATCCTAACATTACTGTACCTGGGTTCGGATTGTCTCATCGTACCATCTTTCCTGCAGACAATATCATCTCTAGCCCCATTGGAGAATTGAGCAAGCCACCCTATGCTTCCCACAAAAAAACAGCCATTCATATAGAACAGAATTAGTGCTGGGTACTTGCTAGAATTCTTCCAATCCGCAAAGAACGTCAGCTTAAAACAAAACAAACAAAAACATTAAAATATTTTCACTAATCACAATTGGTTTGCTGCACTCATAATACAACTTTACGTATTCAGATCAATCAATATATAATTGTAGGGGAAGGAGATATCACCCTACACATAATAATTTCTAATGCCATGTAAATATATTCAAACACACTGAACAATGGTGTTGCTTGATAAAGTAATGTACAGTACAGTACACCTTCTTTCATCTAACAAAATTTATTGAGACATGTACAAGCTTTCGCTAGCTTCATCAGGTGAAACTTTTATTGTTTGATAACTACTTCTTCTATTCCTAGACTGTACTGGTATTAGCCACTGTGTCCCATTTTAATTTTTAGATTAAGATTGAATATCAAGAAAAAATCCATTGTGTACACTACATCATTTGAACTTACAAGGGTAAAAAATGTACATATTGCACAGATAGAAGCAAAGACGGCGATGAAAGTATGCATCCTTTCATGTTCGGTTTGAGAGTACAATGGATTCTGACACTGGATGCCGCAGCCATCTACCCCATCGTACCAACTCTTCTCATTCTCTGTGGCCACTAAAGGAGGTTCACACTTTCCACTCGTGTTGAATGTCAATTCTTTATAGGAATTCTATAAAAAAAAATGAATGTTCAATAAATTATCATTCAATATTTTGTTCTGAGGGTAGTAAAGATTTCTTTTTTAGAAATATAATTACTGGTATTGTTCTCTTTCAAAATAAAATTGAAACTTTTTTCCTTTCCCCTGGCGGCATTTACCAGACAAAGTGCAGTGCCAACCCACATATTTTTTTGGAGAATCATTTAAAAAAAATTATATCATGTTTCACCAATTTCCATATAAAGTATTCGCAATAATTTTTCATTCTGTGGAAAAAATCAATGATAGTTTACTTACCTCACAACCTTCTGGAAAATTCTCTGGCTTACATTTAAGAAATTCAGGCCAGCCTCTTGCAGTTTCTACTACTTTACATGGTGACCTTGTAACAGTACACATGTCCATACTCGGTAATTCTACAGTACCGTTCACACATTTTGGCAAATAAACAGAGCAGAGGAACGGCTGGATAACTTCCCAACACCTGGGAACAGACTGTATAGCTTTCCATTGTGCCAGTCGATTTTGTGTTTCTTCTTGAGAAGTTGAGTCATTTGCTAAAGACAAAGATGTATGCGAAAACCCAATGGAGTTTCCCAAACATTCCGTAATTTCAACTGGAACACACTCTGGAACAGTTTTTGTACAATGTCCTTCACTGAATAGCGATATATTCAAAGCCTGCGTGAAATGTAATGCTTGAAAAATTATCAGAAAATTAAGCAAAATCTTTGGAGATAACCCCATTTTGCATAAAAAAACTTAATCAATCAATTTAATGTTCATAAATTTCACAGGCTGAAGTAAAATAAGACAAATCAGTCTTGTCCAGATATATGTTATGTTTTAAAAAGCAACTTTAACTGGCATACTTGCAAAGTTGAAGATGATTGTGTATTCACTTGACTTCATGTTTTTGCTTCTTGAACAACATCCTTCAGTAACGGCATATGAGTTGCTGTACCAAAGTTTATAGCATACTAGCTGCTTCGTACAACAAATCAAGACAAACAATTGAACAGTAACTGCAAAGCTGTCCTTTGTATTTTGGTATTGTGTGAAGAGATTGGTTGAGAAGCATTTACTGGAACTGTGGACAATTGTTGACAACTCTCAGCATCAAAACCCTCAAATTGGTAGCTGAATGGAAAATCATGTGCTATTATCTTTACTAATAAGATTGTTCATTTAAAGAGATTGATTGCTAACTGTGTGCTGGAATGTCTCCATTCCATATTCCAATGATAATACGATCAGTCTGTGTAGGCCTACATATAATTTATCATGGACAATCAAACTTCCTAAGGTAATTTAAAACAAAATGTTGAGTAATTTTGAATCAAGAAAAATCGAACAAACAAGACCTAGACCAAAATAAAAATATCTGTAAATTAAATTATAGTGTTTCTGTACAGGTGTCACTCCCAAAGTAAAACAATGACCACACCAAAAATGAGGTTTTTTTTCTGCTAAGCGCTGCTCTCAAGTCACCGCAATGTTTATTAAAATATATATTTTGAATCAACATATATACTGTACTTTTATTATTATTATTATACATGCACACTGAAATATAAAGGAATAGCAGATATCATTCTTTAAGGTTTGGCACAACAGCTACGATATTGGACGCACTCCAGGAAGAGTGCCACAGACTGATAAGTGTAGTTTCTGAATAAATATATAAAAATCAAACACCAGTTGAAATGACGAGTATAGTACATCCTTACTACGTGTGATGAAAAGAGAAAGTGGCGAAACCTAGCACTACTATTTTATACAATAAAATATTCATTAACCATATAGTTTGGTACAACACATTGCTCAACCATTCACTGGTTCTTATGTGGCTTCCGCTTTGGGAGCATCCATCAAGCAACTTCTTGTTGAGATGCCTTCCTACCTACCAAAACAGTCCTCCATGATTCAATCATCCTTTACCAGCCGCAAAACATCTTCAATATTTTCATCGTATATACACTTCAAATGAACGAAAACTTACCTTAGTTTCACTGCATGACTTACACATAAAGATGAAGCATTAAGTGAAGATGTACTGAGTTTCTTTGTGTATTTTTAAAGAATTACAGTGCTTTGTTTTCGTCGAACAAACTCAGTCACTCACAGTTGGGCCATAAGTGAAACCAGACCCTTATCACGTGACTAAAGGAATTTTATAATTGAGCGAAACCTGCTTGGGGTAATTGCATGGGAACCTTTGTATAAGATTTTATGATTTTCATAACGTTCAAAAAGTGATTATAAGCCTATCTGTTGGATTTAAAAACTCTACTTAATGCAATGACGTTAAAAAAAGGTTTCTAATTACAAGTCTTTCTAGTATTGTTAACAACACACTTAAAAAAAATCACCGTGCGAAGAGGCCTAAGATATACTACAACTTTTATCCGACCTGTTTTCCTTGTGTTTTAAGGAAGGCTGTGCTGTAAGTATTTGAAAAAAAATATTAATAAGATCTTTTAAAAATATTCCTTAAATTATTAACTTTCAAAGAATAATACTAAAGCAGTAGGCAGGCCTATATATAATAGGCCACAATTGACCGTCCAGCCATAGCACCATACAAACTTTAATTATTATATAGCCTATATCGGAAATAGGCCGGTAAAAATAAATATTTAGAAAATCGCTGCAAAGAATAATAAACAAGTATAAAAAGTAAAAGTCAACCATGCTTTATTAAGTAAACGTATCCCATAATAAGTACGTATGATGGAGCCAGCATTTGGAAGGCCCGCCCTCTATGCTCACATAAAAGTACAAACTTTGATGAAGACGCAATACAGTTCGTACGTGGTTCAATTAGTTGGTTCTGAATTTATTTGATATATTGATATATTCATCTTGATATACTGCATTGTAATCGTCGGTGTTTGGAAAATAAATGTATGTAAAACCTACATACAGATAGAATATAGGCATAGGTTTATCATTACCTTTTCAGTTGAAAGTTATGCTTCTTAATTTTTTTTGAATCAAATTTATCAGCGCAATACAGACACTGTAATTATAATATAGGGTATTTCTGTGTAATTATTAATATTCTTTAGGGATTTTAAATTTCCATTGTTTATTTTATACATTTTACTAAATGAAATCTACAGACAAAATGAATGAGATAATGTAGTATTATTAGTTCGTCGATAATTTTTGTCAACATGACGATGATCATCTGAATGAGGCTGATGGTCATCCCACTAACTTCTTGTTTGAACCATCTTGTTTTGTATGATCCTCGAACAAATTACTTTACATTTTTTTCTTGGTGGAGCCAGCCGTTGGGCTTATTTGGCTTCTCCAGACACAATTACATTTTATCTAAATGTCTTTTTTAGTCTGGTTTCCACTTCGGCATGCATTGTGAATATATCTGAATCTGAAAAAAGCAGTAATCAAACGAGGTGTTGCATTTGTGTTCTTTGCTGTCATGGAGAAGCTCGGTTTCTAAAAACCCTCTAAAGGTTTTTCACACATATCTCTAGGCATACGTTGCAAAAATAAATTACAGAGACACAAAGGAGAAATACCATTAACACATTTTATTACTTTCTTTCAACTGTTCTACATATACAGACACATTAAACACACTTTCAATTTTACAATTTGGGTAAGAAAACAATTTACTTCATTAACTGTCGGTCCTAAAACAGTTTGATGAGTAAAAAAGTATAACAGGGTGTGGAGATTTATGTGGTTCTATGGTTCGACCACCCCCTCCCCCGCCACACTCTTTTCAAGCAAATCCTTTTATGATATAGTAAACCACCACCCCTTCAAAAATCATCAAAATTGTGATAACTCCACACAAATAGCATGCTTAGCACCAGGTGAAATTTCCCCTCACCCTCAAAAGTGCTCTACCCCTGGGAAGCAACAAGACGCCTAGGCGCCTCTTGACCTCTGGACCCCATAGGACCTCCTCCACCCCCCCCCCCCCATTAAGAAATCCTGGTTACAGGCTTGAAACTCAATGTGTACTTTCTTGTGTTGCATTGTGCAAATCAAAAATAACTTTAATGATATTTAAAAGAAGCTCAATCGACAAACTCATTACATAAATCTCTCCATAACCACTATGCAAAACACATCAACTTGTACTCGTCTCAGCGGTGGCTCTAAATTTAATATTTGGTAAATATCTTATATCAAAAATATTAATTAATAGCAAACATTAAAAACAGCCCAAATCTAGTTTAAAATCCAATAATATGCAATAATCTTTGAAAATTATAACATTTGAATTATACATAAATTAGAAATGGATATTACAAAACTGATATGTTTGAAATACAATCGTGATATAGCTGACTGAAGTTTGCACCATGTATTTAAATTATTGGGCCTATTAGGCAAAACAATAATGTACGACGTTGAAAAGTATCAAAACCAGTGATTTTTGTCAATGTATGTGTCAATTACGATTTTTTTTCCAATCTTAAATGCACCATCTGTGATTCCAAAGGCACAATTTTTTAATTATTTTTTCATCCTGAAGGCATCGATTTTCACTCGAAGGCATTGCAGTTGCGGATCCAAAAATTAAAATTAAGGGGGCCCAGGAAGGGACATGTTGGGGGCTGAGGTAAGAAATTTATGCTTATGGTACTCTCAGACTTAAATTTGAATATCTTTTTCTTTTTTCTCCATTTTTTTCCAGGTTTCTATGAAAAGGTAGAGCATTAGCCTACTAAATTTAGGTATGGTACTGTATACTGTATTAGAGAGTTTTCAATGGGTAAAAATATACTGTACCAAATAATTTTAGCCCTTACACCTACTACCTATCATGAATTTTGATAAAAAAAATATCACATGGTGACGTAAGAGAAAAGCACAAAAAAATGTGTATTAAAATATATTATATTGTTCCTATTTGGGAATTCACACTAGCAAAGGGGAGGCAGACCTCTTGGAAGAAGCGGGAACCCAAAGGTTAGCCTCAGTTCTTTTCTTAGCTCAGGATTGCTATTAAAACTGGCTATAGGAGGATCAATTAATCACAGTGGTAGTGCCAGGATTTGTATGACAAGGATCCAAGATCCCCAACGGGGGGCTGATGCCCCTGACAAAAACAAAAAAAAGTGGGTGTGGTCAGAAATTGCTCAAAATCTCTCAAAAGTGTTCCAGGTGGCCCCACCACCTCGAAAAATAAAACAATTTAGGGGTTTCAAATGCTTATTTAATTGGTTTTGGGGTCTACTAATAGTAATATATGTAAAAAGTACCTACACATTGTTTTTCTCCCCAACGAATTGTGGTTTTTATAACCAGAAAAGGGGGAGGGGGAAGCTCTTCCCAACGGGAGGCCCTGCCCCCCCCCCCCCCTGCTGGCGCCAACCCTGATTATGCATTTGGCTAGTCTAGGCAGCTATAACAATTCCCTGGTCTAGGGAAGCTACCACCAGTTTAGCTCAAAACCTCTACTAGACTTGCCAAGTCCTACTGCAGTACTTATAGGTAGGTAGGTTATAGTAGGAGATGTGTTTAGAAATTGAAGCAGCACCCATCCCTAGCTAGGCTAGCCTAGTCAGGATGCCACTTTTATTGCCATAAGGTCTGGGATGCTTTAATGTTGTCATCAAAATTTACTTGTAACAAGTATATTAATGTTTGCCTATGGTGTTACCTGTTAAAGGTTAAATTTAAGGTTAAAGCTAAAGTCACTTATCAAACACTTCTTATTGTCAGCTATATTTTGATGTTAAGAATTTAAAAATTATAGTGGATTGGTAGACACAGCTAAGTAGCTCTTCACACAAGAAAAGTACATTGTTGGGAACGTGTTGTTGATATCAATTTCTGCAACATTGGTTCTATCAGATCGCCTGTAAGACAAAATGAAATACAACAATAAATTCACTGTGAAGTAGAGCTGTTAATTGGTGGTTAAAATGTTTTGGAATCTTATTAAAGAGGTCAGGGTTCAAATCCTGTAATAATCAAACTAAGCCTCTGCCCCCAATTTCACATTTTATGAGACAAATTTCTTTGATTTGCACATGGGCATAATGATGTTATATCACACCCATATATGAGAAATGACAGGTAACTATCACATAAAATTAATTAAAAAAAACTTTGCACAAAATATTAACAATACACCACAAGAAACAAAGACTAATGAACTGAGACACATTAAAGTGCAAACAAGTACTAGGTAGCATCTTGAGTGTTATACTCTATTCAGACACAAGTTTTATGTGACAAATACCAATGATTGGCCCATATTGGTATATCACATCATCATGCCTATATATGGGCCAATCACACATTGTCACATAAAACCTAACACTGTAGTGTGAACAGAGCAGTTATATGGTGGTTTTTAACCAATGAGGAAAAGCCCTATTTATGGGATTTGTATAGTACTACAGTGTTATGTCACGATACCACATGATACTACTCCATTGCTATCGTTGCAAAATGCGTTCAACAGGACGCCATTTTCTCCACTGACAAACCATTGATCCCAATTTCTAACGTAATTATTATGAGTTGTACCTTATTTTTTCTTTGTAAATTTTAATTGATGATTAAATGTGTGTTCAATAACTATATAATGCAAGCTTTTGTGTTTTTAGTACATTTTGATGGTAAAATATTAGATTTTAAAATGCATATTTCAGATAACCTATGAAGTCATTCAGGCGTAATGATGTCTGATGACAACAGAGAGCGTCACCTGGCGTCGTGACGGCACGACTGTGGTACTCTACGGCATTACTAAAGTGATATATGCCCTACCTCTGATGAGTTTCAACTGTATAACGCCTCCATTCCAACTTCGTGTTGGGCCGGTGACTGGAACCATTCACTGCAAATTCCTGGAAATAACAACACATAGTTTTAGTAATCCATAGTTGTAATAATTAATTTTGTTTAAATTTTAAATTTAGTATTTAATTGGTAAGTTGGCAACACCCATTGATGATCAAGGTTGTGTGAATCCTTATCAATTGTTCGTTATTTGATTGTGACAGTAGAAACAGGGACAAAAGATAAGCCATCATTTTGTCACTGTCATTTAGATAGATTAGGTAGCTTGATCCTACTATGGAATTAATACTCAATGTAATCCTACCATGAATGGTGTATGCATAGCAAGACTGCACTAAACATGTACATAGATTCAATGATGCTACCTTAACAAATTTCTACCCAAAGTAATTGGCCCATAACAGTCCAAAAAAAAAAATAAATAAATATAATTATTGGCAGGCAAATACATTTAAAAATAAAAAATATATAAAGCAAGTTGCACTGCACTCTCAAAGCCTGGAACAGGTATGAAAAGCAAGCAGAGCTAGTCATACAGAAGGCTTGAATATGAAGACATTTTTGTATGCAGAAGAAGGATAACAATAAATATAATTACCATATGGAATGTCTGGTAGTAGCCATTCTTAAAGAAATCTTGGCGCCTGCACCTGCGGTAACGCTTCAGCTTATTGTCATACAACTTGAGATTTTCTCTCTGCATAACACAAGTCATCTGAAACAAAAATAAATAATTCATTTGAATGTAAGATGGAGGCATAGATTTGAGGTTATCATGACCTCTTAACCAATTTCTATTGTTACTATAGTACATACATTGCAGCTCTTATACAGAACTACTTCATGAAAATCTGAACACTTTTTTTTATACCTTTATTAATGAAACTTATAGCAATGAAATATTTCTAACAGAAGACAACCAGAAAAATGAGAAATAAAATTCTGCAGCAATTTAAGGTACAATGATTACAATATCATTTCTGTAACATAATTATATTGTATTAATGGCATCAATAACGTATGTTTAAAAATGCTTCATTTGCCAAATTGTATTGTCTTTATGCATAATCATTGAAGCTGCAGGTACAGTAATTTACCTGAGGACACAAGGAAAATAGACTGTACATGCCAACCATCACGGTTGTATCTACAATATTACAAGCAGTTAATAAAATCAACAGAAGCTGTTAAAATACGCATTGTTTCTTTTTTTAAATTTACCACTAAAAATAATCAAAATAATAATCAAAATAATATTAAATCAATGTAAAATCTCACTCCCACCCACACCTTGTGACATTCCAGACAAAATATTAACACTGGAAACAAGAATTTACGTAAGTTTAAAGCATACCAAATCCCCAATCATTTTGTATTTGCCAACTTGAATGCCCTCAATCGAAGTCATCCGGGAGCGAAGCTTGGAGACAACAATGCTGGGCTCTTCAGCAGTGGTAAGCATTACTGCATGGCCTGGAAGAGAGGTATATCTTGTTAATAATGTAGCTTTTAACTCTATGATAATTAAGGAGACAGGCCTGGAAGAGAGGTATATCTTGTTAATAATTTAGCTTTTAGCTCTATGATAATTAAGGAGACAGATACGTATTGTTTACTATCGTTTTACTATCACACTCACACTATGTTTCTTATTTGTTAATACATATGACTAATACAGCAATATGTCAGAAAGAAACACGAAAGAAGCTTTTCTCTCATCTTTAAATACCAGTGGCGTATCTAGGAGATTTGAAATGGAGGAGGGGGGCTGATGGAGGCGCGAAAGTGAAGTGTGGGTCTCAATGATTAGGTGAGGGGCATGAGCTCGGAAAATATGGTGATTTGAGGTGATTTTTTTGGTTCAAATAATTTCAATTGGGGGGGGGAAACTGGGGATGCAAATCTTTTTTTGGGGGGTGTGTGCCCCTACGCATCCATCAGGCACAATGCATTTCCTCGGAATATTCCTAGTCAGGTGTGTAATTCAGCATTACCAATTTTATTCCAGGGATTAGCATTCGTCTAACCCTCACCCTCTTGATTGTAAACTCAAAGTCATACCACTGCACCACACAGCTTAAGACAATTTAAGATATTCAGATGTCACCTCGTTGTTGAGGTGGATTTGCGCTTCATATTGGTTATCTGGATGATGTCATCATACAGTCTTGATAACCCATCTCTTCCCTCATTTCAAGAACACAGTTGTGAAATGTAATAATAGTAATTAAGTCTATATAACAGCGTCAGTACCTGCCAGTGTTAGGTGCTCATGGGGGTTGTAATTATTATCCCATGTCATTGGATACACAAGCAGTCATGCATCATACCTAACCTCCTAAGCTCACTGGGGAGCATAGGAGGTTTCTTATTGGACCAACAAAAAGCTTCAAATGGAATTATTTCAAGGTATACAATACTGTAGTAGCATAAATAGTAGTATAAAGTAGTATACGAATTTATAATGCCCAGGTACTTTCAATACTCTTATATAATTGTAGTTGCTGGGCACCAACAAAAAAAAAATGCTTAATAAAATTCATAGACGACATCTCCGATATATTTTAAAAATTAGATACCCAAAAATAATTTCAAACTAATAGAGTAACAAATACATTGTCCAAACTAATTAAAAGTCAAGATGGAGTATGTTTGGTCATGTGCTTTGCATTATAATAACTTAGTTCCAGCATATAGTTCCTTGGCTTTTGCTATTAAATCTGTAAAGGAACTGAAAGGCATGGGTCATTTGAACTTTCCCTTATTGGCACAATTTTAAAAAGATATTGAATCTAAGGGGCTTAAATTAGATACATTAGGTGACTTGAGCGAAAAATAAATCATATTGGAATGGCATGATGGATTGAGGGTACTGTTACAGAATATAATTTTATTTATAGCATATTTTTTATTTTATATTTATGTTATTCTAGAAAATGTTTTAAGTTAAAACACTGTAGCTAGAAAAAAAAATTAAGTTAAACTCTATAGCTGTAAGATGTAGATGTTGGAAAAGTACTTCACAGAATATTTAACTTAGGATACAAACATCTCATTAGATTGTTAACTTACCATCAGGAAAAACTCTAAGGTACCTATAGTACTCGACAAGATGGAACGGTTTGTAAAAGTGATCCAGACCAGCCTCTCCAAAGCGGTAATACTGAATCTTGCTGATGTACACGCCATCAAACCGCAGATGAGGCCGGGAAATAAACATCAACCGCCAACTAGGAAAATCTTTAGTAAGTCTTGTTGTCTTTCCCCAGATCCTGTGATGCATAATTAAACAAACAATAACATAAATTTTTTTTTAAATATATATTTTTTTATAAATTATTATAAAAAAAAATTAATTCATTAAATCTACAATGCTTACATTTTTGAAAATAACAATAATTTTTATGTTAACATAAGGATCCTTGGTTATTGGATTTAAATTTCTTTTTTCTTTTAGTTAAAACCTATGTTATGTACTACACAAATTCCCAACCGTTACCATGAATGTATTTTAAATGCACTATAAAAAGTGATTGATTATGCATATACTAAATCTCATTACCATATAGAATACTTCTATACAAAACTGTGAAATTATACAAACTTTTCAATCAAATCATATACATACATCTGACCTATGTGTTTTATATTACATTTTTTAAAATTTTTTTTACCACTTCTTTACTCTAGATTACTAGATCTGCTCAAAACATTGTTAATTTTCAGGATAGCAAACCTTAAATATTACCTAATTTTAGAAAAAAGCCAATCACCTTTTAAATAATGATGATCAATCCAGCAAACCTGGTGTTGTCAGACCTTAGTTATAATACATAAAGTGTTTTTTGAGATTTATAAGAATAAAATCTACTTTCCTTCAGACATGAGGTATTCAAACTAGACAAACCCTACATAAATGTGTTTACCTTTTTGCTCTAATGAACATTAACTTTAACAGAATATGTACCTATTAATAATAAAACATCATTTCTTCCAATATCAACACAAATCCTACAGCATTACTTACTTTTGGCATGAAAGTCTCCATATCTCAGGGTCACGAGAACAAACGTAAAAACCTTGGGAAACGCATGAAAGCTGCTCTAAAGAACGAAGATCAAGCTCATCACTGACGACCCAGCGAAAAATATAAAGCAGTAATTCTATAGGCAGGCTAGAAATATGTGTACCCTGAAAGAAAATGGAGAAATTAGCACAGGGGAATTGACAGATATGTCATTAAAAGCACTTTAGGTTTTACATAAATTGTACATGCACATGCATAATGCATTCAATTATGTTGATTTGTACCCATAGAGATATTATATTTCTATTTCAGCACTCAAAAAATAATGTGCCTGAATAGAACAGGTGATTCCATTATTTTCTTGAGAGTATGCTGCAGTTTTCCCATCATATATGGCCTGCATATTATTAGTATTCAGGCAAAGGGCAGAGGTATGTACGCTATGGATTGACTGCTATAGTTTATCTATATTTCAAGGCGTATTAAAGGCTTAGCTCTACATGTTGTCTTGTACCATGCTTGTACTTTGTCTATCATCATTTCAGAAGACATAAAAAAATTAAGAATTACAGGTAGCTCACCACAATTTGACTCACACTACTGTTATTTAGAGATACATTTCGAACGCAATTTTAAAGGATTACATCCCCACAGAATGCTATGCCCTGTTATTTATCAGCATTTCAAGACTATAGTTCTAAGCTTTTAGTTTTACCATAGAATGATTCTTTGCATTATGCTTTGCTCTGCTGTTTACCATAGAGGTTTAGTTCTACCACTGGAATTATGTAACATTGTTCTACACAATGTTGCCTTGTACTCTGAATTTCAATGACTTTTTTTCTATAATAAAGGTTTAATTCTACACACAGCACTGATAAGCCTGGGATCAATTGTTTCCACGGTCAATTCCCTCAAATTAAATGGCTTGTTGTTGGTGCTGTCTGTCCTGCAGGAAGTAAATATTAATAAATAATAACAAGAGACTTGCAGCAAGTCTAAGTTGTTTATCTGTATATGGTTTAAATACAGGATATTGCTAACCGTCTGCTCATGTTCAGGTTCACAATGACTCTTGACGCTATCTATGGTCAAGGCGTTGAGGGCGCTAATAATGCCATCTACATCAGGGTCACTCAAGTCCTTCCTGAAAAATAAGGAGCAATAGACATTATCAACCAAACAATAAGAACGGTATCACATGATTAATACTGATTTTTTTATCTCACAAAATTGAAGTCTAAATTTCCTCATTAGCATTCCAAAAAAAACTTTGTACATTACCAATCAGTCATTGGTCATTGTACTCTTTCTAAAAATAACTAGAAGGTAGTCTCACTATATTTATTTTTCATATTTATCAGTTTCGTTCCGAATATTGTTGTATATTGTTTGTAAGTGTTCCCTAAAAAGTTGTCGAGGACCCCCTAAAGAGGAATATAAAGAGAGAAAAAAGCTTGCCAGTGACATGACCATGTAATCAGTTAGTTTTAACTTTAACATTTGACTGCAACCACATCCATAATGAAACCAAACCAATACACTTTACAACTTTAATTTCCTCCATAATAATTTTCCTTACATTTTAAATTCTTAATATAAATCCTTTATAATACTTACTCTACATCATCACTATCACTGTAACTTTCTGTTTAAAAAAAAAAAGATTTTGTTGTGGTAATTATTTTATTAACACCTACAGATTTTATAATATTTTAATAAAATAATGTGTACTAAAAGATTTACTATTTTATTATTGATACTCACCATGCAAAAAATATTGTATTAACAAGGTTTTTTAGACAGAGTACAAGCGTATCTCAAAGGGCAAGCATAATTGCTAGATGAATAATGAGCTGTAGTGAGTAGCTACATTACCTACCAGACAGCATCATGCATTATCTGTACTTGCTGCCTGATTACTATTTACTAAAAATTGTAATCACAAAAAAATAAAACCAGTACTATGTACTGCATATTTACTTAAGTACTACATACATCTTTATGAGCTTATGTATTAACAGAAGTTCACAATCTCTGTTATTTGAATTCATAAAATATTTACATATTGTGATGAAATATTGATAGTTTTTGAGCTGTTTTTGTCTAAGTGGATTGAATTGATCAAAATATGATAATATATACAGCTCAATTGGAACTTGAATGACACTAAAACTTTACTATAATATCATCCTTGTCATTGTCATCATCATCATCCTTGTCCTCATCATTGTATTTTTCATCATCATTTTCCTTTTCACTATAAATACCATTATTATTATTATTATTATTATTATTGTTACTAAAACCTACCTTAAGGGGAACTTAGACAATCGAGAAATTAGAGAACAATTTAAAAAAATGACGTTAAGGGGAAAATAACACAAAAGATGTTCCCCTTAAGTCCGACTTAGCGCATATTATTATTATTACCATTATTATTATCACTATGCTATGGTATCATTGTTATTATTATTATTATTCAATTATTATTTCAATTACCTCTATTTAATAATATTAATTTTTATCATCTTCACTACAACTAAAATATAAATATAAAACAAATATCATGTCCACCAATCATCAGTGTAAACATGGCTTACCTCCAGTCTGGTACTGAATTTTTGACTCTATATCAGGCACAAGTTTGATGGCTTGACTATAAAATGTGATGGCTTCGAAAAAAAAAGGCAACATAGATTAAATTCTTATTACTATCAACATGCCTAGCATAATAAGATCATCTTCATCATTCTCCTTCTAATTAATCATCACCATCAGCATTTGTTGTCTTCATTTTCGTCGTCGTTATCATCACCACCACCAATGTACTATCATGATCACATCATCCTCTTTCATCATTATTAGAACACTGTAAAGACAATCTACTGCCATCTTCATCAACATTATCATAATCATCTTTATGAGGCATTTTTAATGATGTCCTTACCATCGTAAAGATGGCCAATTCTTTCTGCAGCAACACCTTCCAGAAACAGCTTTTCTGCCTAAATGTTGAAAACAATGACCAAAATACAGATAAGCATTATTAAAAAAATTAAAGTAAGTGATGCACACCCATAGTGATTCAAAATTTTAAATATTTTCTATTCATCTTCATGTTTTTTTTTTTTCTTTATGCCCATAATCACAGGCCTACTGCTGGCCAGTACTTTAAGAATTAACATTAACATGAAAATAGGTCTACCTTGCACAATTTTCACCTCATTTTCCTATCCTTTTGACTGAAATGTGGAAGTTGTGGACCAATATCTAATTTTCATTTACATTTTCTTCTTTTGTGACCTGTTTTTGTTGAGCAATATATTATCTAATTTACCTTTTCTTCTTTTGTGATCTCTTCCTGGTTTTTCCCTTCCTGATCACCTTTTCCTTTCACATCAGCATTCAATTCTTCTTTCCACCGGTTGCGGAACTCCGCTAACTGCTGCTCCACACTCACCTCTTCCTTTTCTTCTTCCTTTTCATCCTCCTCAATGACAGGGATGACAAAATCACTTGCACCAGACTGAGAAGAATAAATATAAATTATGCACTTTAAAAAATTGACACTTTCAATAGAAACCAGGATCGGATGAAATGTGGATATAGATAGGCCAAAGCCCCAAAAACATGTAGTGGAACCACATAATGAATATAAAGTATATAAAGTATAGTATATAAACAACTTCCCTAATAAGAACATAGTATAAAGGTTTCCTGATGAGAGCCACTTTTGTAAATTGGATTTTTGGCAATTACAGTTATGTAACTAGGCCTAATTTTTTACCAACTTGCTAAATCATAAAATGATGTTCAAACATTGCTAAGCATGAGTTTTTTTGTTTTTTTTGTTACTTTTAATTTTTAGGAAATAAAGCCAGGCCTACCAAGCAAGGCTGACACAAACAAACACGGTTTGATCAGACAGCAGCAACTAATAATAAAGGCCTAGACTTAGGCCTGCTTAGGCTATAGAACTAGGCCTAATTGCTGACACGATGTCTATATAATGATGCCTACTCTTCCCGGAGCTGCACTAGGCCTACTTTATAATAATAGGCCTAGGCTAGGGTCTAGGTGCCTAGGCCTGGCCCTAGGTAGGGCTTTTAGGCTAAAGACTTATAGTCACTCTCACCTAATTTACTGTAATAAAATAAAATAATTCATAAAGTACCATTATACTGCTTATTTATAAGTAGCATAAAATCTCAAACTAAAAAATCACAGGTAGAATAACGGAGAACTGAATTAAAATATTTAAGATATCTTCCTACTGCCTCCATGTTATCTGCCACAAATTATTCAGGGTTGTTTTGATAAAGCGCCCTCATAATCTGGCACAGCGCACGACGACGTTTCAATATTCGCTTGAAATTGAGCAGGCCAAGACTTGATTCATTCAGGGAAATTTGTCGGGGAGAATATTTTTTAAATGTATTTTCTACATATCAGTAAACTCTAAAATGGATTAAATAAGCCTTCAAGACCCTTAATTGTAATAATTTTTGGGTCATATTTTTTGCGCCCTTGCTGGACCACTTTCGAAAGGTTTGGGCGACGCCCGACCGCCGGCCACGCCCACTTTGTTCGAACTCGTATGTGACATCGCCCTCCACCCCACCAACCCACCCTCGTCGGCGACGTCAGACTCCCTGTAGGGCAAATCCTGGAACCACCACTGTTTCATTGTCTTTCATTTCAATTTCTTGATAAGCCCTAGGCCTTTTATTTTCATTCTTACGATTTTCCCCAAGATACGGTAATTGTTGTTTTGTTGAATGGTTTTAAATTGTGTCACTTTGTTTTTGAAATAAGGGCCTAGGTCTAATTATTGTTTTATAAATTGTTAATCACTGAGGTGGTAATGATAATGATGGCAATAATATTATTATGACAGTGTTATTATTAATAATAATGCAATTATTCTAAAAGATAATAGATTTTTTCCTCCAACCACTGCTATCAAATAAGCAAGGTGGTGTGATATAGAGACATATTAAAATATGTTAATTTGAAAATCATAATGAATAGATACAATAACAATAATGATTATTATTATTCTCATTACAGTATATTGTTGGTATCGTAGCTGTTATCGGAATAGAAGCCGTAGATTTTAGACGTAGAAAGCAGGCTTAATACAATTTTCCTTGTAATAATTTTAAATGTTCTTTGTCTCTTCAAGTTTTAAACATTAATTTTGATTTTAAATTCATTCTACGAGCTTAGTCATCAGAATTGAGTCATCATAGCCATTTTGATTATGGTGAATAAAATCAATGATATTCTACCTAAATCACAAAGAATCATTAGTAAGCCTGGATATCTTCTATAGTTTTTATGAGGTGTTTAAGATGTTCAGTGAATGCGAATTTAACCTTGAAAGTCTCATTAAATTTACAGAATTAATGAAGAATAAAGAAAAAGAAGTATGCCCAAGTCTTTAAATTTCAAAATATTGTCTTTTAAACCCGACAATACAAATTGGCATGGTGTGTTTGGCACGTTTCGCCACGCCTTGCATACGTTTTTTTTACGGATCCTTGAAACATGAAATGTACACAATAAGCATGTTACATTATAAATAGTGTAACTGAGACATATGGGATTGTGACTTCAACCAAATTATATAATACTGTCGGTAGACCTATGTTGTGAAGCACATGGCTTAATCTTTAAAAACATCATTTTGTTTGTTTTTTTTTTTGTTTGTTTTTTTTGTTTGTTTTTTTTTTTATCAATAACCATGTTCACAAAACCTTATTCAATACTAAAACTGTTGCTTTAGACACTAGCCAAGTTACTCAAACCATATATACCTCCATGCTCAAACCGTGTTGCTGCCTCATATTATCATCGTTGCAATCATGTTTTTTTCATATTATTAACACATAATACATCATGGAATTTAAAGAAGTTTAACTTCATTACAGACAACGCAGAATGCATGAGTTGTATTTCCTGGTCTCATGAAATAGACATTTTCTGGAGATTGCCACTTGTGTATCCACCACCCTCCATTATTCAGTCAAAGTAGACAGGGTTACAGTCACCGTGTAGATCTGGACTGCATTTCGATCTTCAGCACGCGCTCTTGTATATGCGCTGGAAATTTCCTCTAAAAGAGTCGACAAAAACAAACATTGATATAATTTGCCATTGCTTCAAAGTTTTCCATTGACTTTAAAATCACTCCCACGTGAGGAATAATTTTCCACCTGTCGCTAAAAGGTCGAATTCTTGATATGTATGGACGTAAAATGCGACACCGCCATAGTCGATAGTCTCAACTGGTATCGGACACTGCACGGACATCTTTTTATTTAACTTTTATTTAACTTACCATCAATTGCAGGAGTGGGAAAGCAAAACGAGTAGTGACAATTCCAGACTAGGAGACTAGCGTGAACCAGGGATGAAGCAGCTCTGGCGGAAATTCCTGGAAAAATCTGGGCCGATTTTTGTTTATTTTTAAGAAAAGATGTTAAAAGAATTTTAAAGCATTCATCCGAAGGATGGTCACTGCATTTGCCTATTTGTATTTTAGCCACAATACACTAATTGGATGGACTCGAAGCAGGTCAACATGATGATAAACTAGACTTATACGCATGCTTAAGCCTAATGCCATAATATAGGCCTATATATATTTAATTGAGAGATTTAACTTTGATACTGAAAAATTTGACTTTTTATCAGCATTTAAAACAATAATGAATCTCATCAATCAGTTTGTAACCTTCAAAATTCCATCTGTCTTAACTTTTCTTAATCTGCTTAAACCACATCGTGTTCTGTTCTGTTGCACGTTGAGTCACTATTTTGGAGCAGCAGAATTGGAAATTCGGATGCGTTTTAAGATAGTTTGCAGTTAATATTGAAGGAATGATACCTTCCCATGTGATTTAAACGTTCTCAGCTGAAAGTCTTCGCACTCACGTCACGTTGTCAGTAAAATCTGACTAACATTATTTTTTATTGCATGAATACTGAAATAGCCGTGTAAGAGTACGTGATAATCAAATTAAAGACCAATACTCCATTCTAATTTTGCTATATTTTATAGGCCTAAAATGAATCGAATGGCGGAAGAGTACGGTAACTCATTGAAGATGAATTAATATACGAACAATCACTATATAGAATGCTGGTTTAAAAGTCCTACTTTTCAATATGATTTTTTTTTTTGGAAATCTAACAAATAATAAGAAAAGGATTGATAGACAGGGGTGGCGCCAGGATTTGCCCGACAGGGGTGGGGGTGGGGCCGAAGTCCCGACGAGAGGGGACTGATGTCCCCGACGAGGGGTCAGATTTCCCCGACGAAAGCAATGTGGGCGTGGTCGAGATTCGATTAAAAGGTTTCGAAAGTGGTCCAGGGGGCGAAGCCCCCGAAGATTTTTTGTAATTTAGGGGTTTTAAAGACTTATTTAATCGATTTTAGAGTCTACTAATAAGAAAATACATATAATTTTTTTTTCTCCCCGACGAATTGTGCTTTTTCTCCCCGACGGAGGGGGCACTCCCCGACGTGGAACCCCTGTGCCCCCCCCCCCGCTGGCGCCACAACTGTTGATAGATCAAGGAAAATAGTTCAACGTATAACAAAATATCACACCATCCTCTGGAATTTATGAAAGTACGTGTTGCTGATGATCCTACACATCCCATATACAGTTGTGACAGCTTAAATAGACCTGGAATTAGACTGCCCTCCACATCTGCGATGCGATGTGCCAAATTCTATTCACATGCATAACTCTAAAGTTATTAGAATATAAATTTGCAACCTTTTTACATCAAATTTTACTCCCCTCCCCCCCCCTTTTTAAAATACCAAATTGTGACTCTGTCAATTTTAGATTATAGTTGTTTTAATGTTTAACTTTTTAATGTTATCACTTTTTTACTCGGTCTTGCTGCTATGATGCGTTTGTAAATTTCTGTCGTTTTTAAATGTTAATGTTTTTAAATTTGAAAAACTGTACAACCAAAATTTCTTTGTATGTTGTTATATGAGGACAAATATGGTCTCTTGTAACATGGAGTAAAGTCTTTTATCTTCGTTACGCCACTGCTTCTGACATTCTTTTTAGGCAACAGCACACGCAAGGATGGTTACAGTTTTTTTTTAATACCTCCATGTTTTCACACAGTAAATTTTTCAATGGAGGTAACTTGGTTACTTTAACGATTAACAATGCCGTCGACTGCCGGGCGTACAGCACATTTCTACTGTCGTTTAAATGACAATGACCATCATCCAAAGCGAATGCAGTACAAAGTTAAATTTAACCTCAATGTAAACCCATTGACTCTAACAGTGTAGAAAGAATTTGCCGACTGTGGTATGAGCCATCAAGTCCGATATTTGATGGGACTTGAAGAAAGGGAGACAAGTGGGGATAAATGGGGAGAGATATTACAATTGAGGACACCAACACTGCAATTACCTTAGTTGGATAGGCCTACCGTATTGATCCAACAATAATAATACAGGTAATGTGTAAATCCATGCTTATTCAACGATAGGGAAATTGTTCCCTAACCCTCCGGTTGGGCCCCCACGGCCCTCTGGATTTTAAGACAATATTTCCAAAGATTATTTATATTATGTAAGCTATTGAATAAAATCTTGACATCAACGATTATTAAACATAGGCCTAATACTACAGTCCTTCATGTTAATTAAAGAATATAGTTTCAAATTTGCACATGATGTCGACGATGAAAGTAATGTTAAGAGGCTAATTAGGAATTAGCTCTGTACAGTTGATATTAAAAAGTGTGATTACAAACGTCGGTAAATTTTTTACTCCAGTGGTCCAGATCCTGATAAGAAAAATGTAAATATAAACCATACGTGTTGCCATGGTATACGTTAATTGATACATATTGTTATAAATTCTCCTAATTGCATACAGATGACTTTAACACTTTCATCTTACTCGGCCTGGCAGGCGATAAAAAAATATTATAGCGATCCATAGTCGTTCTTATTCATTATATTCTTCTGTGCTCGCATTAGGAAACAGCGGGCAACATTAGTTTACAGTTGAGTTCAGCAGTAGTGGAAACTTTTAATTTGGGAAGGAAATTGCGGTAGTAATTTGTGTAAATGTTTATTGGGATGTTCAAAGGAAGCAAAAGCCACTAAGGATAAACTTCAATAATTTGTCTGCGGACGGAAGCGTCATTTAGCGTCATAGAAATCAGAGCAGACAATAATCTTCTGTTATTACAGATTTTTGCTTCACAACTAATATCCTCCCGGCAGCAGGTGTAAACAGCAGTCCATAAGCGTTCCCAAAAAAGGCTCACTTTGCATGCTTTGATCATGCTTGATAGACCTTCGCGGTTTCTTCAAACCAGAAAAATTACCGTTTCCTCCTATGTCATTGTTTTATCTTTAATACGGTGTAGTACAGTAAAATTCAATTACCAAATACTATAAAAACGTACAAAACTGTCCATATCATTATCGTCGTCATCATCATCATCATCATCATCATCATCATCATCATCATCATCATCATCATCATCATCAGCGTCATCATCATCATCATCATCATCATCAGCGTCATCATCATCATCATCATCATCATCATCATCATCATCAGCGTCATCATCACCATCAACCACCACCAGTGCCACCACCATTCATCATCACCGCCATCACCACCATCATCATCCGCTTCCTACTCCTCCTCCACATCATCATCGTCATTATCATCATGGTCATGGTCCTATTCGTCATTATCGTCATTTTTTATTTTTACATTTTCATGGATTATTCTTGAAGATGTATTTTTTTTCAAGCCTGATTTGTCGCCAACGTGCATGTCACCATACAGACAAATTTGTTCTGTCGGGATAATTATTATTTAAAAAAAATTTAATCTATTAACTCTGTACATTTTTGTTGAGCCTTTCAAGGTTAGCTTGCTATTCAATGAACATTTTATTGAACACTTCATAAAAAAAATTGCGATTTAGCCATGTTCTTGATTCTGTTCAATATTCAACTGTTTATGACTCAAAGGTTGATGACTAATCTCGTCAAATGAATGATCAAAATTAATGTTTTAAAATTTATGAAACAAAGTGACAAGCAACGTTTGAAATTGTACTAAGATGAAATTCTAAGAGCAAACTTTATACATCCAACGGCTCCCATTACAATAAAATCTACTGCTAAATTGCAGTAGCTATTATATATAATTTAATTATTATTTATTATTTAATGGTCAAGCCTTATACCATCACTGTAATGATTTTTCAATGTATTTTTGTAAATATAGTTAAACCTGTGTCAGCTCAAGTTATACTGGCATTTTGTTTATATTTTTGCATGTTTTGCAATGGACCGTTAGCAGATATTTCGTACTATAGGCAACTAGATTTTATTTATCTTAATTAATTACATTTTTATATAGGCATAAGTCCGGTTTTTAGTTATCAACTTATCCCTGAATGTTATGTTGGGCCTTTGATATGTTTTAGATAGATGGTGCATTACAAACACTTTGTATACACCAATATACAGTAGGCTATAATAATATTTATTTATAATAAATATTTTGTAATTATACTTATTTATTAGGCTAAAAAATATACAGTAGGCTATAATATTATTTATTAACATTAAATATATTACAATTACACATATTAGGCTAAACACAAATTACTACCAATAGGAATTACAGTAAAACGGAATGATAATTCATTTTTCGTGGATGCTTTTATTTGTTCTCATAAAGGCCTTGAAAATGTTGATACAAAAACCAGTGACCTGAGCGTACCTTCCTCCGATGTTTATTTTAAACGGTGTAATTACTACGGTGACATTTTTCTGAACCTTGTGTTTACACATTTTTGTACCAGTGTCGGTGCATGTTCTACCTGTGACTGTGCTGCAGTCTGCCCACAGTTTCTGTTTGTATCTTTTCCTCAAGTTGAGTCTATGTTTCCCCCCACCCCACGTACCACGTAGGCCTACCTAATTCTTAATGCATATAGGTGTAGTGCGATTGGTCCCGTGCAGTGTAATTACAGATGTATTTGTAATAGCTCCATGTTTGTACTGTTATGATATAATATTTAAAAAACAAACATCTTAGTGACAAGCGACAAGCATCCAATGGCAATGCCAGTAGAACTTTGACTTATGACGGAGGCGGGACAATAGATGCACATAGTAATTGCTTACTGGGCGAAGCGAAGAGCCTTTTTGCATGGGTGTTCCGTGTGACCGTTGCAGGTATGTTCAGCAATCCCTCATATATATATATATACTTTTTTGGACTGTTTGTAGCTGATTCATACTGTCTGGATATCAGTGAGTCCCTGATTTACACCTAGCTTTTAATAGGTCAAGGAAATACTGCTGGCTCCACACTTTTAACGTGGTTCCTTCCTCTCGCCAGAAACAGCATCCTTATTTCACTGCCTACAGACTTAGCAAGTTGTTGCTATTTTAAGACAACCGGAACATTTAAGTCATGGATACATAAAATAATAGACAGCAAACACGAACCCTATAACTGAGTAAGAGATACTGTGATAAGATCAGTCTAACCTCGGAGCTCAGAGAGTAAGGAACGATACTGTAAGCACCAATTGGAGGTGAGTAAAATACTAATACTAACGTATGCCAGTAAATGCAAAATCACCCAGTGTTCTACATTACTTAATCGAATAACTAACGATGCGGTGTCAGAATGTGACACAAATGTCAGGCTCTGATGACCGTGGATTGATTAATGATTCAATAAGTTATATCGGTCTCAATTCACCTGATTTAGTACTTTTTTTAATAATGCACTAATTCAAATTCTTTGCATAGTGCAAAGTGAACGATATCCAGAATGATATCAAAAAGTTCTTTCCTGAATTGACTAAAGGAAGTTTGTTGAAGTCATCAGCAGTCATATCTTTGATAATCTGTACTTACAGAAATAACATTTGGCATTGCAAAAGGATACTAATCTTACAATATAATGTTGTAATTAATTAAATTAATTAATTGATCATTCTATAGCAATTATCATGATTTTCATTCTTCGACTCAAACATTTCACATTTGTACAAATTGAAGGGGCCAGTTATGGGACGGTTCAATTGCTATATTTTTTTGGAATACGTTATTGAAAATGATTAGGCCTTATAGTAATTCGAAACATTGAATCCCATATACAATGTCAGTCATTTTTTTGGATTTAATATCCTTTTGTTTTTGTACGTATAGGCCCATGCCTATATTGCTGTGGAGTCACTGAAGGCATTTGCAATTAGGCCTATAAGATTTTATTGAATTTGATCAAATTGGAAACTGATAACATTTCGTATAGGATATACGGTAGGTCTTCCCAGCTAACAATATTACGTTATAAGAACGTTATAATAACGTTACAGTTTTGGTGATGAAAACGTTATTTTGTAGAACATTGAATAAGCACTCTACTTAGAACGTCATTTCACAACTACATAACGTTTGAACCTTCCTGCAACGTTTTTTGACATACCTAACCGCTACGTTCGCGAACGTTATAAGGACGTTTACTGGCACGTCGGAAAGTGAGAACTAATTTTCCGACGTGCCAGTAAGTATTACAGAGTTATCTATCGTCTTAATATTGTTAATACGCCATGGTCACGGTACCACAACATAATAGCAGGCTATTAATTAATACCTGTATCATTCAGATGTACTGACCTGATTGAAGGCTGAATCGTAAGTCATCCCCTTGGGAAGTCTATAGCTTTGTAATGAATTTTTATCGTTCATTTTACATAATCTTAAAATAAGCCAACATAAAATTCTCGTTAAAATCTACTACTACCAAACCAAAGCTTGCAAACCGAGACGTATTCACAAGCCTGGCGTCATAACTATGAATCAATTTGAGAGCGTTATTATGATATATAATTTAAAATGAGTCCCTTTATTGCACCTATGCCAGTTCCAAGATCCGGCTCAGGGGAAGGAAATGTTCGACAGATCCCGAGTGGCGTCAAATGTATTTTTTATTGCAATGACAATACGTGCAGTATTCAGGTAAACCAATTCATGCAACTCTCAGGCCATTACCGTCACAAAGGAACACAAGTTTCAGATAATCATCTGAAATTGCTACACTATGAACACAATGACTTTTTGTAGTTAGACAGACTTGGGCTGTTTTGGCAACAACGCAGATCAGCATTAGTAATTAAAATTTGAACTAATGGGGACTGCCCTGACCTCACCTAATTTCGAGGTTTCCCATCAGGAACACGATTTAAATACCCATGAACTACAGTACTGTGAATACAATTAACAGGGGTACAATTAATGGGTTTAGTAGCCAGATTTCTGTCAATTCAATGTATTCAGTGGCTGATCTGGGATTTAGCAATGGGGTGGGGGGGGGGGGGGATAATGGGAGGTGAGAAGGCACATGCGGGGGATTGGTGGTTTTGGGAGGGGCATTCCCTCACATTTGAGATTTAAAAAAAAAATTAGTAGACTGCTAGACGATCTTAAATGGCATCTGAAAAGAAGTAATTTTAAAATCGAAAGTGTATGTTTTACCAGAGTACACGAGGACCACACAAACAAGACGAGTGACCATCGTTTTATTTTTTACGGTAAACGAAGTGGGGTGGCTAGCCACCCTATTCACACCCCCCACCCCAGATCCGCCACTGGTATTAACATTTTTGTAATTTTAAACAACACATAGGCCTATTGTAGATGGATAATCCCGGCATAACTGTGAATTTGTAATGATTTCGTCACGCATTTGTTTAAAATTGTGCTGAACGTCGAAGTGTTTGATGAGGAACCAGTCAACCTATCACCGGAACAACTTTGTTATAAATATCAAATTATCGGATATTGTGGTTTAATAGCGAGACAATAATTGTATCGAATTCAGTACCGGTAGCTGAGGATTATACTACGCGTTATTTACTAGAATTCCATTCTAAAAATAGGAATATACAAAATTATTCTGAATATTATTAGTTAGGTCCAAACCATGGTTATAACCCACGTCGTAGGATCCAACCATCCAGCACAGGAACCTCTTCTTTCACATTTCTTTTGGAACGATGTATTGTTAACTCATTACTACTCTGTCGATCATGCGTTTCAACATCCGCTTTGGCATTGGTTATGTGAACTCTATGCTATGCTCCCGTTTATAAAATTTAAGGTACCCGGTATGAGCCATAGATTGACAAATGTAGGCATTTCAATGATTCACTGCATGCATTTACATCAGGCCTATAATATTAAGATATAGGTTACAGTATAAGATACGACGTCAGTACGATACGATACATTATTCGTCCATTAAGAAAAAGTTAGTACGTCTACATAAATAGAATAGGAAAGGAGTATTTTTGGTGTGTGAATCACACCAAGGATAATCCACTAAGTCAGAAGACTTTTTTTTTTCCCAGTGGGGGCACTTCTGGTGGTGAATTGGGCAGTAGGCCTACACCGGGAGACTCACCTACTCTTTTCGGGAAGAGTGTACTGTGTTCTTTAACGTGCACATGGGTCATATTGCACACGGGACCAACGGCTTAAACGTCTCATCCGAACGACGGTGAGCTATCGTAACTTGTATTTCAGCCCTCCATCTGAAACACAAGAACAGCTATGTATTGTTCTCAGCATTGTCTTTCTTTAAGAAAAAAATAATATAAAAACCTAAAGAAACTGTTCAACATGAAAGGGACGTACTACACTACTAAGATTCCAGTGACCCATTTGACAAGTGCCTTAACTACAATACAAACCATGATGGACGTCACTCCACTAAGGTCCTAATGACCTACATACCTCAACCCTAACCGAATTATACTTTATGAGGAATGTTACTTCACTAATCCTAAAGACCAGCATACTCCAATAACTGATAAACTGTACGGTAATCTATAGAAAAAAAAAATGACAATAGAATTTCTGTATATATTTTTTTTCTGCAACTTATTGATTGTAATCGTTTATCAGCGAGAGAAAGAAGTGCATTGTATTACTCATCATAATCATTTTTCTTTATTTAGACATGCTCAATGGATCCCTTTTCGACCACAGCCACGACTAATGACTTATTAAATCTACTGATATATCATGTCGTTATGTCACAAATCCTTTGGATATGTGAATATTATATTCTAGGTCAAAAATATGCTTTGCTTAAACAGTTTTTATACTAAATGAACGTTTGAAAGTTTGCTTCCTGGGTGGATCTGTCGTACGAATAATAATAATAATAATAATAATAATAATAATAATAATAATAATAATAATAATAATAATAATAATAATACTTTGAATATTTATAAAGCGCCCTTACTCAGATGATCTCACCCAGCGCTATTAGAGAAGAGATAATTCAAAAAGGCGAGTTTTGAGAGCAGTTTTGAACTGTTTCAAGGTTGGTACGAAGGAAGTACTAAGCCAAGCCTGCATACACGTAGAGTGAACCCCTCCCTTTAAAAGAAACATAAATGTTGCAATTTCAATTGAAATACCATGAAAAAAATCTGCCTCCATGAGTGGATCGTTCGCTTGACCCAAATGCTCGTGGACACATATTAGTACTGTAGGTCTATAATTTTTCACGAAGAAAATACTTTGCAACGATTGGGTTTGCTAAAGATGATTTGTCAAACTAAATTCAAAAGTGAGCGGATTTACAGTGGAATTTCGCCACTGTCATTGCTTGATCTCTGTGACCTGCAAAAAAACCCTTTACCACACCGTAGATAACTAGGCTTACCAGACTTCGTTAAGCAGGTATGAATCCGTATAAATTAGCTCTAAGGTCACTTGAAAACAAGGCCAAGTTTAGGTGTGAATCCGTGTGATTTGAGAGGTTCATAAACAGTTGTTTAATTCACCCTCTTTTTTTGTTGACCTTCTGTTTTACTTGTGATTGTCATTGTTGTCGTCCTTCCTCTTTTTCTGTAATCTTAGTTCTTTTGTATATTGTTTTGTATTTCTTTGCCGTCCACATCTTCATCCCTCGTTCCCTTTCCATATATACATATTTTGGACCCACTAACTCCAAGAAAACTGTAGGAATATTGTTTTATTTTTAATAAACAAAAATACAACAATAAGAAATTAATTGAAATAATATTAATCCAATAACTCTTCAATATCCGGCATTCTCGCAGACGCGCATCAGTGAACAAGTTTGAAAATTGAATTGTAAATGTTTCAAAATCAGCACAGTACAGGTTGTACAACAGGTTTAAGATACGTGGTGTAGGATATACATACGGGAAGGAGAAAGCTGTCCGAAAGGTGGGTCTGACAGCTTTCCACGGAAACATTGGGGGGTGGGGGCGAACCCTATATTGTGAGTTCCGACTGGCACCTAGAGACAGAGGGAAAATATGGGTCATTACAAGCTTGCCCGATGTTTAAATCGTAACGTGTATGCCCAAATAATTTGTTTTCCTTTATTTTTGGTAAGACGAATCGTGGCTGACGGAATGGTCAGACGGACCGGTAGAAAGAATGAGCCTAAACCCTATTTCCCACATTGTCGCCACCTCTGATTTAGATGTTATTTACTTTTAAATCCCAACCCATGACTCCTTGGTTTAAGTCCTATATTTAAAAAAAAGTTTATTTCTTTCTCGTGAAAAAAAAATCAAAACAACGAAAACAAGCAACTTTCTAAGCCTCATTAAAACGTTGCAGATAAAGAGTTGAATCGTTGAAATGGGGATTAGACCTATTTATAAAAACATAGTGGTAAATTAAAAAAAAAACCCATTAAAAACCATAAATTGCTGTCACATTGTAAACAAATATGAATCACATAAAAGAGTAGTCTACCACATGTACACGATAACTCAAATGATAATTGCGAGGCTCCGTGTTGGAGTAGTATTACGATGCTGTAAGTGTTATTGTCGATGGCCCAGCCTTGAACTTTACAATTCAGCTGATTGACGAACCTAGTTTTTAGCACTTTCACCATCCAAGTATATTGTCACTTACTATCAATCCCTGGAATTCCATAATTTTCGGTAGATATAAATTGACTTGATATTTTTTATTAATATCTTTAACCAGGATGACATATTCCAGTAGGTTTTTCCATCGAGCTTGGTATTGGGCCGAGGATGCTGGTGACAGTGAATGATATTGCCATTATATCATTTATGTCAAAATACCTATCTGACGATCGGTAATACGACGTAAAATTAAAAAAGGGTTGAGGGGGCAGCGAAAGATGATATTTATGGTCCGCATTCAACTTTCGCTGGCCCTAAAATTAAACATTCAGAACTTAGGACTGCGGGCCCATACATGCCCCGTAGCCCCAGACAAGACACCCCAAAGTTAGGGAAATTAAAACAATGTATCCCGAGTTTTAACTCGCACTATTTAGGCCAACCTCATTGTGAATGACCCTGATGACAACACTTTTTAATTAGAATACCGTACCAAGGCCCGAATCAATGTACCTTGTACTGAACTTGTTGATTTGGTAAATGAAAACAAGAAATATATTTGATCTTGAAATTTTGGTAAGGTAGTCCCTTGATAAAATAAAAACAAAGGTCCTTTAAAGGCACAGACCTAAACCCCAGAGGAAAATAAATTTTCCTTGTCTATAACGAACAAAAGATAAATTGTCTACTAACAATCATGAGTGTGTAACGCGAACATATACAACTTTAACGAAAATAGAAGGGACTTGCAGGCAAGAGAAGTGGTTTTGGACACATTATTAGATTACTGGTCGAAACACATATTAAGCTGGTAACAAGAGACTTAAAAAAGAAAGTAAAACGAACAATTGGATGCGTAAAATTAATATAGATTAGAAGGACACGTAAACACAATAACAAGTTATTCTTCTCAAAAACATAGTAAAATGGAAACAAAAGTGGAAAGCGCGTTTAGAAGAAGAAAGTATAACTTTCTAGTGTTGGTCTATTTATTTGTATACAGGTTTGCCTCACTCAGGCAGAGTTTTATGGCTAAAAAGGGCTTCGGTAAACTCACCCATGGTAAAGGTAAAGGTAAAGGTAGGAGAATAACTAACCCATAACTTGCAGCGTCATTGTGCTAAATTGCGATTTTACACAAACGATGTACGCTACCTGTAATCAGGGCCGTTCTGACGGCAATTTTAATTCCGTGTCCATTGCCAACTACATAAAAAAAAGATAAGAACACATTTTATAATAATAATAATAATAATAATAATAATAATAATAATAATAATAATAATAATAATAATAAGATTTATAAAGCGCACAAATCCACTGCAGTAGTGCTCAAGGCGCTACAGGAAAGAGAGCCTGCAGAGGTTGAAATTTCTTTAAAAATAAAAAAAAAAAAAGAACAAATTGAGACTTAGTTAAAATGTCAAAGGAGGATTTTAAAATTTAAAAACCAACAAATCAGTAGACATGACTATGTAATACCTTCTACAGTGCAGTAATAATATGCAGTAGTCCTACAATAATATTTTTTTATCTTTGAAAAGTGTGTAAAATAAGAACCAAATAACACTTTGAGCCTGAAATTGGCAAAAAAAAAAAAAAAAATCCCACTACTCCTGAGCAAAATTCTACTGGTCCTTAAAAAAGTGTATTTAGGAAAAAAGTAGGATCATCGTTTGTACCGGTGTATGTATATGGCTTAAACTATTTCCACGTGAATTTCGGTCTATATCCTATATTATATGCACTGTCGACAGTCTAATTTCCAACTATCATTTGCACATCTTGAAGGTATCATCGAACAAGGTGGCGCTTAAGCTTGGTGGTTAAGATGCTTGTGTTCCAATATCAAGGTCAGGCCTTAAACCCTCCCACTGCATGGTTTTTCTCACGACAGCATCAATCCATCAAAGGAGTATAAAGAATGGTTATTGTTGGGGGGGGGGGGATGTTGGGAGAGCTGGTCTCCTCTTCGGCGAGAAAAATACACTGCGTCGGGGAGAAGAAAAAATTATGTATATATTTTCATATTAGTAGACTCTAAAATCGTTTTAAATAAACCTTTGAAACCTCTTTTGTCAAAGTTTCCGGGAGATACGCCCGCTGGATCACCTGGGTTTCCGGTGCCACATGCACACCTACTGACGTTCTTGTCGGAAGTCGTCCCCGCTCCTCTGGTAGGGGACATCGGACCCCCACCCCCGTTGGCAAATCCTGGTGCCACAAGTCGAGTGTATTGTACGCTGTTGGATGTGAAAGAAGTAACCCGATGATAATGGTGTATTTCGAACACAGTGGCGTCAAATGGGAGTAGTGGCCTTCCCCCACTATAAATTTGCTTAGCAAAAAATATGCTCAAGTAGTTAAAAATTAAACCCCATCTGGCTTTCCCTTACTTTACAATCGTTTCCTCATGTATCCTCAATGTCAGTAGACTTCTGTGTACGCTACTGATTTCTTTCCTGTTCACATTTTTACTGATCGCATTCTATGTTGACGCGTTCCTAATGGCAGGTCTCTATTTTCTTTACTCTCTGTTGTAAAGTTCGGAAAAGACTCAAGGCTGTCTGTGAGTGGTCCTGCAATTTATTAGCAATTTTTGGTTTGCATAACCATAACCCGATTTTAACAATTTCCTGTACCCATTGATCAACATAAAAGCGACATAACTCACTTCGACTTCTACTGTGTTCAGTGGCGGACAGTGGCGTATTTAGGAGTCTTGAAATAGGGGAGCAGAAGAGGGAGGGGCGCGAAGGTGAAGTGGGCCCTTGATGATTAAGTAAGGGGCGCTGTCGCAAAATAGTGATTTGAGGTGATTTTCAACTACTTGAGCATGATTTTTTTTCCTTTGGACATTTCCAATGGGCGGGGGCGACTGAGGAGCACTCCCCTAGATACGTCACTGGTGGCGGACAAGTATGAAACCCTGTCGTAAACTAGGAACACTGGGGAAAATTTCCGGGCACCACTTACTACTGCGCAACATTCTGAAACCACAATATTGGCTACAATGGGTACAGGCCAATTAAAGGCCTACCGTAGGCCTACTACTAGGCAAACTGTTGCTGTTAGGCCTAATACTATTCGAAGGACCTTACCTTGGGCCCCCACATTGGATAAAAGAAACAAATACGAAAGAAAACTGATATAAAATAGTAAGACAAATAATAAATGATACTGCCTAAACTACAGTCAAACCAGGGTTCTTTAATACTCAAATACCCTTGGCAAAACAATGCATACGTATTTTACAATGATCAATGGAAACAGTGGATAAGCACTGAAAGTACATAACGGTAGTAGTCTTAAAATTAATGCTTTCAAGTCACTACAACAGTATGTGCTCTAATAGTTATGTATTAATGTTGAAGCTATACTCTCCGAAGTGCTAGGCTTACCTGTTTATATGTCAATAATCTACTTACGGTTACCATATCATTTATTATTATTCATCTACTAATTGGTTATCTGTAATTTAGGCCTATATTTGGCATACTTATTATTCATGGGACGTCATTCAAGGTTGGTAATCGTGATCTTAGGCAAATCCAACCACCACGATGTTATTGATATTACTGCACCGCCAATGAAGAAATATAATCGAAATGAGGACAAAATAGTCTATGTTAATTAAAACAGAAATCATTATTCGTTCGTGTATGTATATTCAGCATTTTGTTCATTGGCTAACTTTGAAAGCACAATTTTTCAAAGCTTGACTATCGTATGGATTGTTGTTATAATGTTAAATTTCCACATATGTATTAAATACTTTTTTGCTTGAATATGATTGAACATATTGAAAATCCAGGACATGACTTTTCGTCGGAATCAATTATTTCACGCAACCAAGCGGAAAAGGTACTAATGGGTATTCAAACGCAAATGCTACAAGTAAAGGTATTGCAACAAGGCGTTTCATGTTTCCCATTGGCGGACGAACTCATTTGTCAACTCCCTCCAAAATATTTATTCATAGAACGTATTAAACGTAGCAAGGGATCTCAGATCCAATTTTCATTCGTCCTGTATAATAAGCACAGAAGGACGGACGGGCGGAATTCCATATATTGTACTAGCGGAGGACACAAACCGAATAATAAAGAGTGGTTTATTACGAGTAAGTGAGCTCACCGCACTTTGCTTTGTGAATTAAACGCAAGTCTAGTTAGTCTCATGCTTGTATTTATTTTCCACATTTCCTGATTGTTGTTTGCAGAGGGTGTCATTATGGCTCCAGTTCTATACCGTTTCCTTGGACCTCTTCTACTTTTAGTTGTGCAATCAAGATGCCAACATAGTAAGTTAAAGCTTTTTATTTGATAATACAGTATACTCTTCATATGAATTTATTATCTTTAACAACACTGCATAAGAATACAACTTGCTATCACCATGCTATCACCGACTATGATAATTCATGATATTGTTGATGTTGACGCGATACTGACTTTTTATTATGAATCCAATAGATTTATAATTATGCTGATTATACAGGTTTAATGGTTATGATGATGATGATAATGATGATAATAATATGATGATGATAATGACGACGAGGAGGATGATGACGTCGATGATTATGATGATGATGATGATGATGATGAAATGGATTATGATGATGATGATGATGATGATGACGACGACGATAATGGTGACGATGGTGATGAGAATGATGTTATAATAATTATAACTGATAAGACTAATGACAATGATTAATGACAACAATAGTAATAACAATAATAATAATAATAGGGCCTATTATCAATAATAATAATAATAATAATAATAAAATAATTAACCATGTTTATACTAACTGTGACATTTTCAATGTCAATATGATCAGTAGTATTTTTATGGTTAATAAGGTACCAATTTCCTATATAAAGTCAAATATGCGTCATAATGAAGTTGAACTTTAAAATTAATATCGAATGTGAGAAAACTCTTTCCATTTGGCAAATAACCTTGGTCATAGATTAGGTACCTAGTCAATGGGTGGTATTTAAGATGCGATAAAATCTCTATATAGATATGCACTTTTAATGATATTGCTTCGAATTGGTCAATGTTCTAAGCAATTCTGACATATTAGAAGGCTCAGATTGGGCCTCCTTTAATATGGAAAAAGCCTTAGGGTCAATGAACTTCAATACAACACGATTTTCTCAACATATTTAACGATGTTTGTGTGAAAATAATATGTTTATTGTTATGTATACTTGTTGAATACAGCGAATGGAATTCACACGGTATGTCCATGGATCTTAAAATAGCAGCATGCTGAAGATTGAAAAGAATTTGTCAAATATTTTGATTTTTGTTATGATTCCGGAAACGATAGTTACAGATTCAAAATGGTATGATTATTTGCGCCGAAAATTCAGTTTTTAACAGCGTTTCGGGCAACGTTTCCCCAGCTTATTCAGAACTATGATCAAGTTTATCAGGAACATTGGTCATAAGTAGACATAGGGCTACGACAATATCGTAAGATACCGTCCTTACAATACAAAGGCTTCTACTACAATAACATGGATATTCTCATGCCAAAAACAACTCCAGTCCATAAGCATCATAAAAAGTTTATGAAGCATAGCAAACGTGGGTAAAGGTGGGAAAATAACCCGTACAGTACCGTAACTCGTTATTGTGCTCAATTGCGTATGGGCGTGGTTCGTTACTTGTCACATGCTATGAGCATATGAGGTACAGTACAGTACACCTTCATGTTTACAACGACAGGCGCTAAAATCAACCAGCGCATCGGGGTAACCCCTACTCGTTTATAACACAATGGGTTCCTTAAGGTTCACACGAGCCAGAAGCGTACAAGCCAGTTGCAAATTATTATCAGAGATTAGGCCTTGTTCTACCAACTGAACCCTGGGCGAGGAAGAGGTCTCGAACCAGCGCCGTTAAAGTCAGGCTCCAGAAAGAAAAAGTGATGTTTGATTGGTAACAGTTTCTCAGTTTTTATTTTAAAGAAAAAACAACGTATCTTACTCTTTTCTTATACTACTTCAAACACCCCTTAACCGTAGAATATTTATTTTCTTCAAAAACAAACAATTGTTTTCTTCAAGAGCCTGGCTTAAGTCAGCAGTGGCTCTGCCTTACCGCTCGGCCTGCAGTCGTCGCGTAATAATAGTAGAGGACAGTAGCTGGATCTTATCTCCAGTTGAGAATGGTTAAACCAAAATAAATAAAATCTCACGTGATTATTAAGTGCTTGCTCTAAAACATGTTTGTATGAACTAAAATATAATTCTAACATTAACATTATGGTCTGTGTTTGAGGCGTACCAATCTGTTGAGCTTTATTAGGTAAATTTACTAGGCAATCAAATCTATTAAACTGCCAAAAAAGGTTGTAAGGTCATTATGAGTATAGCACCACTAATATAGCACCACAATACCTCAAACATAATTATATGGCCCATCTAGGTGCGACTTCGCTTTTCTATTACCATTGAGGTATTATATACCTCCATGCTTCTACTCAATCTACGCTTCTATTATCTGTCTAGTCTGTGTAAACGCATGAGTAGGCCTAATCACTATCATAAAGAAATACATAATATGTAGGGCCTAAACATAAGTACATAGGCCTATCTATACATACGTATACAGTGTCACATCATAAAGAATATATCCATTAGAATCCATAAAGAACTTTTACATTATATTTTTAGTGAGGTATACTATCGACTGAAGCAAATAGGCCTATTAGGCATAATAGTACGTGACAAAGCAAGGTTTAACAGATGCTATAGTTAAAATTGTTAAGCATTTGGATCCAATTTATCCCAATCTGGAGAGGTCATTGACCTTTAATATTTATAGGGCCTGCATTTAACTCAGGCCTTTTGTGTCTCTCCCAATCCTGATGGAATGAAATGAGATATTTTTGTCGATTAAAGCTATTAGTTTGATAATAATATTTATTAGAACTGGATTCAAAACCTCAACCACCCATTTCCTTCTGATTACAATGATGTCTGTTGTCTCGTCATTATCCGTGGGCTACAAACGAGGACGTGGTGGGTTTATTAATGTGTTTACACTGCCTTCAATTCTAAAACAGGAACTAAAGTTAATAAAAAGAAAATTATATATAAACTAAATAGAATTTTAAATAACTTAGTTTATACTTAGTCTAACGCGGTTCACAGGCGTGATTTTGATTTATTCGGCATCTTGATTAGTTTGTATTCGGAACTAGCAGAATGAAACATTCAACAATTGAGAAGCAGAAAAATAATTATTATTATACGTTTGCTATTGAATTTTATTTGCAATGAGTCCAAACAACAAGACATTCAATCACAAAGTATTGTTAATAGTCCTCTGTCCTTATGTAAGCTACAGTATACACGAAATGTAAAATTGAAGAAAGTAAAATGTATTGAACCGTAAAATATTGCTACAAAATAGGTTGACTGTAGAAATCAAATATTTGATAATTGCCAATAAAATTTGATCGTTTTATTATTAGGTATTTGATGTTGATGGTTGCATCGTAAATACTGTGCAGACATGCTAACATGATCTAATTAAAATTATGATTGATAGGGCATAAATGTGATATCAAATCATAATATATGAATATAATATTCCAACATCCGATATGACTAACATACATGATATATGGGCTCATGGAATGCTTGAATATCGAAAATGTCCTCATTTTAATAATAAATGCTCTTCTCAATGACGACTAATTAAGTATGGGTAGCTTGAGTAAAAACTTCACATTAACTACCGGTAATTACTCTTGTTTCCATTACATAATAATTAGGCCTAAGTTTTAAACTCTATTCATTAAGTGCAGGAAATTCCAATTAATATTCAATGATATGAATAACGGGTCAATAGGTTTATATCAATGTTGAATAATTGTAGTTTTAGTCAATAACTTTAATATTAGCGAATAATTCCCATGTTAAGATACTTAGTAATAATTCCGTTGCTCTCTCTAATAATATACTTGAGCATGGTACAGTCTGCTGTCCTAGGGGATGTCAGATATCTCGTCATCTCTCTAGGGAACTTACTTTACTGTGTCCTCTCTATTTTTGTATATTTAAGATGAATCATTTTGAACGCATAATTCCGTCTAGCCGACGATAATGCCTTTCACTCAGCTCTAAATTGATCGTACAGTAGGCCTAGGTGGTGCTCTTTTACAAGTTGCTACATTGTTTGGTGTTACTGCAGCAGATCTTCACACGTTCACACGTTACTTCTTATTGTGTTTTGATTAAATCTTGTTTAATGATTTTTCTTGACTTTCGTATTCTTCTTTTTCTTTCCTATTAATTCCCTTGTTGAATTTGGAAACCACAAAAGTCCGAAGACTTATTCCATTGGGTCCTTCTGGTGAGTAGGCCTGCCCAGACACATCCCATGTTTTTATTTTTTTTAATAGCGCACTGAGTTCCTTACCGTGTACATGGTCCTATTGCGGCTTTAACGTCTCTTCCAACAGACAGTAAACTAATTGCAACTTCGATTTTAGCCCCCAACTGAAACACACAAGAAAAGTTGAACCAGGATCACTGTATAGCGAACACACGGTGGCAACCACCCGTTTAACTGACTATAAAGCTATACTGTATATTGGCTGCTATCACTGTCTGTTCTCAGTTATTCCCATTCTTGTCTCTACTAAATGAAAATTAAAACGCATACAGTAAAGACCTATGGCCAATTAGGCCTATATTGACAGTGTTAATACATAGAGTAAACATTTTCGACCTCAGAAAACAACACTAACTTTCTAATCTCACCAATGTATCCCCATTGCTCTCTGGGTAATTTTTAACAAACATAATAAGACTCCTGGGGCTTCTAATACGATATCCGGATGTTAACAGTTATGTTTTTGCTTATACACTATCTTGAAAAAAGAAATAGAAGAGAATTACTGATATTTGTTTATAACAGTAAACAAGTCTCTCAAAATACATGTAGGCTTATAATTTTGTAGAATGATGTACATAAAGAAAAATATCTTGTATTGTAGTCTTTCTGAAAGTGTCATGTCGACCGTAGTTATTTTAGGCCTACTTCAATCTTGCGAATATTTATGAATAAAAATGGAAACATTGGTCACTAAACAGAGATATTATTCGAAGTTACCGTACTTTTGCAAACTAAAGAGGGGGCTTCAATTTCAGATGGGCTTCTTCTCGAGATCAAGCCCATTTGGCTTCTATTCGAGGTTTTACGAAAAAGAAATAAATTCCAAATGCAAACCCTAATCCTTAGCTGGTTTCAAGTCAACTTAACACTGAATTGTCTTAATTTTTAAGATGATATTTCAAACGCCGTTTAATGACTAATTTAATATTTTACTTTTTGTTGAAGGTTTTCCAGATTTTGAATTTACAAACATTAATACGGTACGTCAGTGCACCACACTGTCACCTCAAACCATACTAAACAAAACAGTGCCCTTAAACTGTTACCGGTACTTATATTATATAAATAGATAAGCCTGTTGTACACTCTTTGTATAAGAACCAGTTAAATGTTGTCCAGGCTCAGTATTCTTATTTTATTTTGCCGCTTTCAGGCTGAAAATGTTTTTATTTTGTTCTTATTTTTTACACACTTTTCAAACATAGAAAATTATTATTGTACAGCAATATATTACTGTAATGTATTATAGAGGGTAGTCACTCCAACTGCAAATATTGAGGTACAGATTCGTTGGTTTTTCTATTGTATAAAAATACAAACCTTCTTTGACATTTTACCTCACCCTCCAATTTGTTCTTATTTTATAAGCAATTTCAGTCTTAGTGTTATTATAAAATGTGTTTTTATATATATATATAAAAAATGTGTAACGTAATAGAATCATCCTTTGTCAAAAAGAACATGACATAACTCTGAATTCTCGATCATTAGAAGCATTGACATTCTAATTCACATCCTTACATTGTGCACGTTGTCCGCTGTATCAGAGCTTCGTAAGATTGTACCGTACGTCATCAAAGGAATTATGAATGGCCTTGGATGAATTTCTCCGAGAAATCACAGTAATCTATTATAGGCGCATTTGTATATTATTTACCCGTAAGGGAAAGAAACAAACTACAAGAGAAAAAAATAGGCCTAATAATACAGAGAACCGTAGTGGTCGATTCGTAAACAGAGTAACTTGTCAAACACGCTAAACCCAAGGGATTTAAATTTATGATTCGTTGAGCATTTCAGCTGTTAAAATCTGACATTTCATATGATTTGATAAAAGCATAGAAGAATATGTGTAAATGATTGTCAGTCACGTAGGCCTATAGTGTACGTCCGTAATGACTAGTATGTTAATTTTTTTCCTTGACCAGAAAATTAGGCCGCTCTTTTCTTGGTTTCGAACAGAAACATATTACTATCAATTTCAAGATCCGGATATTTTATTTCTTTTTAAACTGTGAAATACGATACTGAATTAAACCGTTTAAACATTTTCAGAATTTACATTTTTTCCCTAAATAATATATAAGAAAGGTTATAGAATAAAATACAGGCAGAATTAGATAACCCTCATTCAATCTAAAGTAGGCCTATTTATATTTATATAGCAACTGTAATTAGACCTAATATAAGGAAGCAATATGTTCAGTTAGATTATGCACCGTAAATTCAGTGACCATGAGTGACGGATAGGTCTAGCAAAATAAAGCTAACACGTTTTTATAGGACTCAAGGCTGGACTTCCTAATAATATATTTGCAACTTGACCAGTAGGCCTACTTTCATAACGATCATACAGTGAATCCAAAACTTAAATACGTTATCTGTTTGTTTCCCATTACGTTTTTGGAATTTAACAACATTTATAGGCAACAATGGTAAAAATAAAAGTTCATCGTACAAAAATTAGATCTAGGCCTACTGTATGTAGGTCTAATACGTAAGCCTACCTATATAATGATAAATGATGTTGACCACGGAGCAAAGTAAATTTAAATAAAAGAATAGATACGGTAATCAATAATGATAGACATCTCTTTGTCGTCTGTCTTATGATCTTCCGGCCCGCCCATGAATGCTTGATATCATATATAATTAACATTCAAAAGCGAACCAAAGATGGAATAAATGCAGTTGCCTTCAGTGCTATCTTTATACAATAGAAAACAAAATGTTACGTGTCGTAAAAATTACTAATTCAATTTGGAAAAATGAGTCATTCTCAACGCAAATGATGGAATTATCTTCATATACATGCGTACTCACGGGGTAGATTATATCAAATTCTAAAACGATACCAAATTGTAAATTTGTGCAAGCGCAAAATCAATGTTAATTGTATAACGTTAATTTTATAAGGCCTATAATCCAGGGTAAGAACTAGATGTGAACACTATAAATAGACCTACACTGATTCTGTATTTATGTTGATGTTTTAATATTATTTTAAAATAAACAAGAAAAAGGGTGGTTTTCCCCTTTTTCCCCAGCTTTTAAATATTAAAAAATCTGTATCTCATTAACCGCTTCTGAGTTGTTTTTTTTTGTCAAATATGCTTTTTGTGTCTTACAGTTCTACAACATATCAATTTTGTTTTCTCCAGAGCCTGGCTTTAGATACATCTTTAAATGACATAAGCTATAAATAACTTAATCATGTTTCTTACTTTCTCTACATAACTATTTGTGTTTTATTTTCTTGGAATTAGTGAACGATTAATATCGTTTATAGGAGTAATCGTTTGGCTTGTCACACTGCCCTGATGGAATTCCGTGATATTTATTAAGTTTTTCTTAAACAATAACATTTAATACTACTTCTCTCATGGAGGTATATAATTTGCCTCTCTTCATTAATATTAAGTAAGCGTTTGCTTTACTTCAATTCTGGTATATGGTCCCTATGGACACACTTTTTTTCATCTCCTCAATGATGTTCGAATAAAAGAACAAAATATTGAATCACTATGGCTTCTCTTAGTCTTTTTTGAGTCTGCATGATATTATATTATCTAAATATAACCAGTGGACCACTTTGTTTTTCATTTGCTTTATAGCTTTCAAAATTAGATAGTAGTTTCCTCACAGTGTATTAAATACCGTTCCTATCTTTTAGACACTTAAGTTGATTAGCAGACAATTTAAGGATATTATAGTAAAAATTCTGTAATTCAGCGATAATTAAATTCTAAATTGTTTTGATCTACAATAGTCTCGCTGACCTACAAATAAATTACGTTCAAGTTCATGCAGTTCCAAGACAAGATTCCGGTACATGTAAATGTGCAACGTAGGCTTATGTCGAACTAATAAACAGTGATTTATAGACGGATTATTGACATTTTTATAACTTATTTCATTCTTTTAAATAAGCAGTTCAATGCTGTAATTAACTGATTGAAGGGTTTTCCAGATTTAATTCTGGTGATTAATAATTTGCCTAGACCTCTGTAAAAACGATTTGCTAAACAATCTATTGGCCTAATGTAATTAATATTTACATACACAGATAATAATTATAATCCTAGATAATGATTATTATGCCTATATTTTGTATAATCGTAGGAAGCCTGCTACATAGGGCTATACTGTATTTGCCGTATACTATTTTCTTCCTCCATGATCCAGACAAGCTACACTGCATGGACGGCAGTATCTGATCAATTATGGCTGTTCATATCTATTGGAAGTCAAAGTGTGATAAAAATAATTGTTTCTGTTTTGTCTGAAAGACAAACATTGTATATTGTACAGTAGTGTACAGTATGCACAGTTTAATATGGCTTCACATAAAGTCAGCTGGGAGTGTAGTAGGCCAACGACTCAACAACTTTGGATGGACATTTAGTGCACTGTGTTCTCCAATAGGCCTATGTCAACCTGTTCCTCGATTTAAATCTAATTGGAGTCAGGGAATGACACTTCTTTACAAAATTTTTAGGATGTTACTTTGTAGATTGCACGTTAAATAACTTTCGTTTATATTCTTCTTCATCTTGTTTGATCGTTTTCACAGATAATGTCACAGAAACAGGTCAGTTCATGCATGTATTCTTCTGTCGTTTGCAAGGCACGCTAATACTAACTCTCCCTAACCATAACCTCATAATGTTGTTATAACAACTTATTCATCATTAATATTAATGAGGTTATTTTCATGTCCAACAAAACCAACATTCCTCTCAAAAATATAATATACGTCGATTAAAAAGCAGGGGAAAAATCATCTAGGTTTTATATGGTTTTATCACGTGATGATTATGGTAGCAAGCGCACATTAGGGGATTCTCTTTATAATATTGCGTCATATTTAAATGATAAAAGACGCAACAAAATGTAATAGATGAACATTCCAGATTATAGTAAGCTGCACTCTCATTGATTAAACACCCCGTAGATAATGAATTGTTACCGAGAGGATTAATAGTCGAAATCAACTCATGCGCATACGTACGTGCACGTCACGCACTGTGAAACTCAGTTGAAAAAACCATCGGGTAACTGGGTTGTCTGGACTTAATTGGTGAATTTCTAGGTTAATTCATTTTCAAATAAGATTTTTCTAACAACACGTCCTCGCATTGCTAACAAGTGATTTGAAGTGGCCATTATTCTGTGTTATATTAAAATGAATTTTTCTTAGAAATGATAGTCATGTCGAATTTGTTGGCCGGCTTCAGACGCCAATATGAAATCACCGCAATCGCAGTAAAGTAATCGAAATGGTCGAGGTATTGATGGTGAAGTCAGTTTTTATAAATCTGATATTCATAGAGTTGATTACGAAATGCCATCACAACTGATAACAATGCACGTTACGTTAATATTGAAATTGCAAATATCATTAATACTAACATGTTAACTTTAATTCAGTTGTATGATTAGATCGCATAATTTAACTTTCCATTATTATGACTCTAATAGAAATATAGTACTAGTGAACTGAATCGATGCCCTGGAGCTGCGGTTGATTGGGATATCGATACTACACTAAAACAACAGGAAAAACAACAATTACTAGGCCTAACTACTACTACTACTACTACTACTACTACTACTACTACTACTATTACTACTACTACTACTACTACTACTACTACTACTACTACTACTACTGCTGCTGCTGCTGCTGCTGCTGCTGCTGCTGATGCTGCTGCTGCTACGCTGCTGCTACACTGTAAAAACAGCGTGGAGGATTTCAGGAGGGTGAAACGTTTAAAAGCCAGTGGCGTAGAAAAGTATTTTTTATTGGGGGTGGGGATGATTGGCGTGTTAGCCAGTGTCGTAACAGGGGCGGGGGGGGCCAAACTGCCCCTCCCCTAACAGTTTTTACCGGGCTGACCAAGCCGTCGTACCGGGCTGGGTAATAAGAGAAAAGAAAGAGGGGAGAGGGAGGGAAAGAGAAAGAAGAGGAAAAGAAAAGAAAAGAAAAAGAAAAACATAAGAGAAAAATAAAGACAAGAATGTATAAGATAATAATAAGAATATATAAGAATATATAAGAATAATAATATATCATAATGACCAGACTCACAACACCCTGCAACCCATTCTCCAATTCAAAAAATTGTCATAACTCCTTTGATCTATGCTGCCCGATGGCGTAACCACTGGGGGACAAGGGGAAAATATCTATCTTTGAAAAATCTTCCCCACCCCTTTATAAATGCGCTTTTCATCCCCTGAAAGTGCCTAAAAACCTAAAATTTCGCATTTCTTGTTAACATGGGCCAATTTCCTCTAAAAATTGCACATTTTAGGGAGATTTGATCAATTCCAACGAAATTAGAATTAAAAACACCGGGGGTCAAGGGGAAATATCCATCTTTGGAAAATCTTTCCCCACCCCTTGACAAATGCATCCTCTGAAAGTGCCTAAAATTCTCAAATTCTTTGCGCGCATTTATTGTTAAGGTAGGCTAATTTCCTCTATAAATTGCACATTTTAGGGAGTTTTCATCAATTCCGACGAAATTAGAATTAAAAACACAAAGATATTTTGCGCGCTTCGCGCATTTTTTAGGGCTTTTTTAGGTTTATCCTTTTAAGTTATTTAAACACATAATAGTCCCAAACTCAAGAAAGACAAATTTAAGATAGGTCATTTTAACCTAAAAGAAAGGCCTTAATGTGTATTGATGGTGAAAGAATACGTTTGTAATAAATAAAACCAGGATGAAAATGCTTATATTTAGTTTCAAACACACGTGTGTGGCCTATATTATAAATAAGATAAGCCCTATGTCATATTGCTTTCTATATGGAGAGTGGGGTGAGGTGGGTATGGTAAATTACTAACCGGGAAAACAAATACCCACTCTGACCCAAGACCCCTGTTACGCGCCTGGTGTTAGCGCCAATGTGTGCCCTTGTGCGGACAGGGGATGTGCACCCCCCCCCCTTCTGAAGCTGGAAACCTTGTTTTTGCAAAATAAATTGATGTAATTTGCTATTATAGGCCTAATTAATAAATTCCTCATCATTCTTGGAATTGACATAACATTACTGATGTCGTACACATCCTTCAGTGTGAAATGTGACTCTCTTCGCAAGCACATCTAACATCTAAGTAAAGAAGAGCTTAGATTGGTATCAGATAAAATAATTTTGTTATCAACATTAATACATTATGCTAATTTTCATCTTTGTAAGCGCATAAGACAGTGCAAATTATTTCTGTGACAGTCTTTTGAAGTGTGTAAAGCTCCATTTTATTCCATACATAGTCAAAATATTAGGGGGATGATACAATTGACCATCCCCTTGTCAAATATTGGGGGGGGGGGAATATATCCCCATCCCCCGGGATCTACGCCTATGTTAAAAGCTAAACGTGTTAAGACATGGCTTAATGTATTTAGGATCTTGACGTGTTTAGCATTAAATGTGCTTAGGTACTTGACATCATGATGTCAAATACCTAATTACCAAAAACGGGACAAAATTGCGTGGAGCTTTGTGTTTAAATGCTCCGCGCTGTTTTTACAGTGTACTACTACTACTACTGCTGCTGCTGCTGCTACTACTGCTGCTGCTGCTACTACTACTGTTACTGCTGCTGCTATTGCTACTGCTGCTGCTGGTGCTACCACCACCACCGTGACTTACTCATTCTGTCATTTATTTTCCTTTTAGTGCCAGATATATGCAATGTATCTCGATGCAAACATGGCGGAACATGCATTAGTTATGGTGATATGTACATGTGTAAATGCCCCCCTGGTTATGATGGTGTCATGTGTGAGAAAGGTAAGGAAATATAGATATAATCAATAATTCATCCAATATTATTAAAACATTGTTCTCCAAGTTTATTTTCCTATTTATTGTTTTCAGACTACGTTACTCTTACAGGTACACATACATGGTTATATGCTTACAGTATTTATATAAAGTGTTCATAGTCATTGCATGTTCACGTTCCCTATATAGGCCTATATATTGCAATTAAAAATTATAGAAAAATACAATATTCTTTAAAGCCAGGTTGTATGCCCATTACGATGTGCCTATATATGTTCATGATGTGATGCCATCATGACCATTATTTAAGCATGTCACATTTTTTTTGTAAAATAAAACTGAATTTGATAGCATGGACAGGGATTAAACGCTGATGACGGTTCGTCTTAGGAGCTTTCTATTTGTGCGACGACGCGACGCTAGATAACGAAATCACTCATGCGCGACCGTCCTATCTGGCGTCCTACGTTCTCTGCATACGTAAATTTGGCCAAATTGCGTTCCAGAATCTACTCGACGAAGTGACTTTAACGTTCTCGCATGCGCAGATGACTTTTAGTGACGTCATTACGTTATATGTCCTACCGTCGTTGTGCAATCGAAAGCTCCCTAATAGTAAAGGCTGCAGTACTGTCGATGAAGTGCATTTATGTTGGATACATTTCATTATCTTGAGTTGAAAATGTTCGTTAAATTATGATTTATAAATGTAACATACAAAAGTATAGAAAGATAGTGAATTATTTATTGAACACAGTCGGATCTCATGCGACCATCTCAACTGCGATCATTACCATATTATTATTTGTTGAAACTTCTTGAGCATCGATGAAATTGCCTCGCTCTCTTTGATGGAAATCAATTATCGTCTTCAGAGTGCATGACTAAGGTGTACTTTGGGTATTATAGATCTGTAAAAATCAATCTTAAGTGATATTGAAAATATAGGCCTAATGAATTTTGATTCATGCCTTGTCAACAATAATTATGATAGTATTAATGGTGATAGAATGCCCTAATATGGTAATGCATAATAATATTATATTTTAGGCCTGCTGTATATATTTTAATATTAATATCTGAATACAACAAGCACTGAAAAATATAGAGAACAAAAATGGTGCCATTGGTTAATTATTTTGGGACCACATTAATGGAAGTATAATAATCATAACAATGAATGCACAAAACAGATGCATAATGTGTTGTAGGTATATACATTTATTACACACGGACGAAAGCTAGTGCTAATAAATTTTAGTTAAAAGTGCTGTTGTCATTTCGTATATGCATATCTCACAAACGCACAAAAGCCTAATGCTTGTATAGAGATAATGTCGGATTTATTTTAATTTTACACCAAGGACTAAATGTCAAAGATGTAAAATATTCATATCATATTCATATTCAATGATTCTCAGTTGATAAAAACTAAGTCATATCTATTAACTTGACTTAAATTTGTTAGCATTTAGTTGTGAAATACGCCGACCGTACAAATGCAGCAAGTGTTTGCTACCTGTCTCTTATACACATCTAGATGTGTATAAGAGACAGGCTGTCCTCTGTGAATAGGTAATATTCATTGTCAGTTTTTCAATTAGTGTAAATGTAAATGCAATGGAACGTGACATACTCATTGCATCTAAGTAGGGTCTACGTCTGCTACCGGGTGAACCAGTGCCAGCTCAGCTTAGTACTCATGTCAGTACCTGTCTCTTATACACATCTAGATGTGTATAAGAGACAGTATCTGAATACAACAAGCACTGAAAAATATAGAGAACAAAAATGGTGCCATAGGTTAATTATTTTTGGACCACATTAATGGAAGTATAATAATCATAATGAATGCACAAAATAGATGCATAATGTGTTGTAGGTATATACATTTATTACACACATATTATCACTTCACACAGGCCTAAACTAAAAACTGATGTAGTCACTGGTAAATATAAGAAATAGCGAGGACGTGTTTCAGAAGATACTAAATCACTACCGTACATAAGCCTAAAAATATCTTGTTTATTATTGTATGTATAAGTATCTATAATATATAATTCTATATATAATTCTTTGTATATAACGCATTTTTTAAAAATCATGATTACGCAGCAAAGGAAGGAAGTAGACCTAGTGATGAATAGGTCAATTTGATGAACTGACGACATCAAATTGGAAATGATCAATTCTAAATAAATTTAGAGAACCATCGTCTTCGTGTACCATCCCAATCACTCGTCTACAAGGTCCCAATTCGTATAAGAGACAGGGACAAGGACGTCCTCATTTACTGATGTAGGCCTATATTTTTTGTGTTCTTTCAGATATTGATCCTTGCTTACCGAATCCATGTAAACATTCCGGCGAATGTATATTAAGCAAAGACGACTCATTTGTCTGTAAATGTAAAGCTGGGTATAGTGGAAGCACGTGCGATATGTGTAAGTAATACTACATACATATATTTTTCTTCAATAATTATGCGAATGACTATTTCGTAGTTATTGTCGTGAGCACTGTGGTGCAAGTAAGTTGATGAAAACGGTTATTGTCTATGACGTCATGATGCACGGTATAGCTTAAGGAAAATTATATATAATACTTATGCCTTTTTTGTCTTATTTAACTCTTATCAAATTAATAAACTTTACAATATATAAATACTTGAATTGGTTATACTTGTATAATTATAGTCATTAAAACGAGGGAAACAATTCTCCGTCAATTAACAGACTGATTAAAATAGTCTTTGTATTATAGTTAGTATATAGGCCTAAGTGACAACTTGATCGTATTGGAAATCAAATGTTTTAACTGGTAATAAAAAAAAAATATAGACTATTTTTTTAAACGAGTATATAGGCCTAAGTGACAACTTGATCGTATTGGAAATCAAATGTTTTAACTGGTAATACAAAAAATATAGACTATTTTTTTTAAACGAGTCCGTTTACTGGCGAGGATTTTTTTCTCATTCTAATTTTCAATTTAACACTAATTACTTATCAAATTAAAGTAAATAAGTTTCATTAGTTGTGTATAAATTTTTAAAAGAATTAAGAATGCGCCTAATTATGTCCACACATTTAAAGTGATGATCTATGCAACCATTCTTCCATGATAAATTATTCTAATAGTATACTATAAATTGATTGTTTCCATATTCGTTGTGTCTCCGTACCGTTTGATGATGATAATCACCATGATGTATTTAATTTATTTAAATTATTTAAATTATGAAATGTATTAGGTTTTATTCGAGACATGCGGACTACTTATCTGTACGTTTTTACGAGCGATAGTCTATGAAATTAATAGAATTATACCTTCACTAATTACAATTAAACCTTCCTTAAAATAGTTCGATTAACGTTTCATGATCAGGACGTCAAGCTAGACACTGCAATAATAAAACCAATACAGCATCTCAATACTAGTTTAGTTAGCCATATCTTTTAACAAGCTATCATGATGGAATATTTTTTGTTAATAAATATGTGAAATAGCTTATAACGTTGGTTCTTAGGCTAATGCATTTGGGTATAATCAGTGACAGGCTCAAGTGGGTGGGGGATCAGCCCGGCCCCTAAATTTTTCAAAATTATTAGAAAAATTAAGAAAAAAAGAAAATTATACTTAAATTGATGTCTGAGAGTGCCATTTCCGGTCATCTAGAGATGCCATAATCATACTTTTTTTACCTCAGCCCTAAGCATATTGGGACTGAGGTCGTTTCGGTTTTCTTCATTAATTTTTGTGAAAGTTTATGCGTGTTCCCCTTCCCCTTTCTCTATTTTAACTACCCTGGATCCGCCACTGATAATAACTATATGTACACATATAACTAACTCTCTTATCAAAATGAATCATTATTGAATCTGAGTCATATAATAAAAAAACTTCACTTATAATTACAAAATTATCTCTTAGCTACAGTAGGCTAACGTATCGAGTTGTTATGGAATATCATCACACTAAGAAAATCACAAGTACATTCTCTGATTTAGTTATGTGTTGTGAGTTTTCAATTTTGATGTAAATTAGTTTAATTTAAGTTATCATCATTGCTCAAATACGCAGGAATATGAGAAAGAATATTTGAGGTGGGTATTGAGGTTTCTAGCCCAAAGAATATGTAAATTAATATAATTAATATTATATCTGTCTCTTATACACATCTAGATGTGTATAAGAGACAGATGCCTTGTTTTATTATCTCTGTATTTAATACATGTGTAGACTAATGAGTGGTCGCTTAGTGCTATGTTCAATATTTAATGATATAACTCTAAGATTAATATCAGTTGACATTACTTAGTATTAAATTGAACGTAATGCATTAATTATAAATGGTAAGTAAGAACATCATTTTTTACTAAAACGTAGAACATACCAGTATGTAGTGTCCTTATGTAATTTATTATGTTTACTTCGGGAGAACGTATTCAATTGTTTAATTAATTTACTTATAGGAGCATTATTGGGGTGTGTCTTTAAAAGTCAATCACTTCCTTCAATATCATATGTATATTCATATATATATATATATATATTCATATATATATATATATCAGTGTCATTATTATAGTATAATAATAATAATAATAATCAGCAGCATCATCGTCATCATCATCATCACCATCATTATTACCTTCAATATCACTATCATCATCACCACCTTTTAATCATCACCATCATCATTCGAGTAAACCATCGTTGTCTCCAGTCATCTCGATTCACCATACAATTGGCAAGTTCCACAGTGCAACTGCTCCAGAATCCTGTTTCACGTACAGTAGGCCTATGTTATTGCAGGACCTCGTGTGTAGGATCCCATAAAACGAGCTTATCAGTTTAATTATTATAGCATCATAATCAGCAGCATCATTATCGGCATTATGTTCTGGAGTTATAAGATTAAGTAAATGTTGTGAAAGTGTGTGCTTGAGAATGTAGGTTAGTTACAATGTATTTTCAAGTTAATGTGTTTTATATTTTAACTTATATGTTCATAATATGAATGATATATTATATTTTTGGAACACTGTATAAAAAGCTCTTTTGAGTTTTCTAAATTGTCTTTTTATCAATCTTCTCTCATCATTTCTCTTGCACTAGGCTATATAGATGAAATGATTTACAGAATGTGGTCACAGAATTGTACTGCTGGTATCAAATTCATATTAGATTTATATAAGAAACTCGGTTCATGAAGAGGTCCGGGTCTCATTTGAAATAGATGTTTACGGTATGTTTTCTATATTTATTTTTATATAGCTCCATGCGACAAGCAGTGTTCGATGGTATATTCACCGGTGTGTGGATCAGATATGTACACCTATATATCTGAATGCCAGTTACAAAGAACTGTATGCAACAAGCCGTGGTTAAAAGTCATTGACAACAATCCCTGCAAATCTGTCGGTAAGTGATAAAGTCATTTTTAGGGCCACAGAGCAGTCTAAGAATCATGAAGTTAACGAAATAGGGACGTAACCACTATCTCTATTTCTGACTAATACTTGTCTAAATATAGGCCTCTATACGTTGCATAAGACATCTGTATAATTATATCCTCATGGGGAAGACAGTGGACAATATTGATATCCTTGTTTTGATTAACGAATTAAAATGCTGACAGAGGTGATATGCAGAGAGATTTATATCGTAAGATTTCATGCTCCAAAAACTCAATGTATTTGAATTAATCGGACATGTTTAATATAGATGGGGGTAGGCCAAGAATAAAATATTTCTGCTTGTGCATTTTTACATAAAAAAATACACATTTCGCTCTGTGAATTTGAGACCACCAAAGATCTTATTATAAGATGTTTGAGAACAACTCTGCGACCTGAAAATGAAGAGTAGTCTCGGGGTTCCGTCTCAGACTTATGTGTTAGCTGTGTTTTAAAAGATAAAAGATTGTTAGTAGGTACTTTGAAAAGATGGTTAGACTGTGGTCTCGAATTGGTTGGAGGGAAACTGTATCTGTTTTAATGTGTAATATTTATAATTTGTTGTCTCTGGTGCTCGAGGTTGGTTATTTTCAGAGGTCATTTTTGCACAACAGCGCCACCAGCACGAATAGGTCACACTGAACTTTTACTATAGTTTAACGGTACATGTCAGCGGAGTCCAACATCTTATAGGTCTACATGTCTATCAGTTCACTTTAGCTTGCAACACATAATGTAGAACTATTTATACGCTAAAGGCATTCATTCTGATAGGCTCTACTTAACTATAATAAGTCTGTATCAACTTAGTTTAATGGCAAAACGTACTTTTAATGTGTTAATAACAATTTCTGCGTCGACTAATGTCTGTAGAATACCTTAGTTCAAGCACTTTCAACATGCGTAGTTTGAACAGAAACACATAGTTTAATTGGAATATTTTGTGTATAACAGAATTAGCTAGAATATAGTAAATGGCTTACAGTAGTACCTTCCAATACAATGTTTTCATCTACGGTACAAGTCATTATCAATTTAAATCGCAGCTGTATAACATAATAAAAATATTAAATAAATATTTTCATGAAATGTAATTGTTTATATATTTAAGTGCGATTTCTCGATTTGTATCAATAATGACTACCCGTGGACTTACTATACTAAGACTCAGAGGTTTTGCACTTAACTCAAATTAAGTTAAATTAGGTATGTGGGCAAATATGGTTGGTCGTATTTAAGACATCGTTCTATTGACCTTTCCTATACACGCCTTTCTAGAACATAATGTTCATAGATTATTACCATTTTGTGCATATTGTACAAACAATATTTGAATTGCAATTACTTTTATATATAAATAAGTTATTAGATTTCAGTATTAGTTTCTAGCCAATTAACGAACGCATGGCCTACATAAGGCCTACTCTTTTATGTTCTGCTTATACAGTGAATTACAAGAGAGACAAATTAAGGATGTAGGACTTTATCACAGCAAAGACCGAATTGTATTGATTTGTGCCTAGACTCAAATAAGAGTAATAAATCGCTTTCATTGTATAATGTATTGATTTGATGATGATTTCATGCTACTCAGGTTGTAAGACATTATGTGCACCGACAGAGAAACCCGTATGTGGTACAAATTGCATCACGTACGAGAATGAATGCGAACTTGATAACGACAGAAGGTGCGCCGCACAGCAATTTCCACAGCTTACAAAGTCATACAACGGCGATTGCAGAGGTGAGTTTGAACTGCATAAATTACTTTCAAAATGATATGAGATTTACCCATCATAAGCACGTTTCATGATGAAAATTCTGCCGTTAAAGTTCCGTTCTAAAGTGCTTTTTTAAGGCCAGAAGACTACGGAAATCTCATCGGATTATTAATTAATTATTCCCTTTCATTGAAAACGTAAACAATTATGCAAAACGTGTAACCATCGGCGCCTTCGGGGTATGACATGTCATGTAGCAGTACGCTCACCGCAGAGAAGAACATTTAATATTCACATACAGCTAGGCACCTATAGTTTTATTATGTGACAGATACAATGTAGATTAAGTGCATTGCTTAAGGATATGTGTAAACTTCAGATACCTCTTAGTTCGGCACATCAAAAGCTATGGGAACATATTATATGAGGTGGGTGTGTGTGTTAACAGATCGAAATACGCATGCGCAAATCCGTAAATAACGTACGTCGAGCACGTAAAATTCTAAAATTAATGTATTCCGCAACGCAAGATGAATACATTATGACGTCATCCGTTAACGTTAAGGTTAACGTCGTGCTGCGAAAACACCTAATGTTTTTACAAAGGTGTAGCCGCGTTAGTTTGCTATAGAACAATATAAGAGATGACAACAGCACTTTCAAGACTATAAAATGTATTAGCTTATTAGCTTTTGTCCACACAGTGGAATTCATCAAGTGACTGTACAAATAAGATCCCATATTTTACAGTCTCTAGGTGGACGAAAGCTAGTGCTAATAAATTTTAGTTAAAAGTGCTGTTGTCATTTCGTATATGCATATCTCACAAACGCACAAAAGCCTATAATGCTTGTATAGAGATAATGTCGGATTTATTTTAATTTTATACCAAGGACTAAATGTCAAAGATGTAAAATATTCATATCATATTCATATTCAATGATTCTCAGTTGATGAAAACTAAGTCATATCTATTAACTTGACTTAAATTTGTTAGCATTTAGTTGTGAAATACGCCGACCGTACAAATGCAGCAAGTGTTTGCTACTAACTGGACGAGTATGTGGCTCAGACGGAAAACGCTACAAAAGCGAATGTCATCTGCTGCTCAAGGCCTGCACGAAGCCAGATTTGAAGTTAGTTAAGTGTAAGTGCATTTAATCTATATGCAGGCAATTTGCAGTTAGCTTTATAGCCCATATATATATATATATATATATATATAGGCCTATAAATATAGTATATATATTATAAATCAAAATGACACTGTTTAATTAAATATAAATCATCAAAGAAAGGAAAATACAGTGTTCAAAATAAAGGACATGATAAGGTCAAATTAAAACATTGTTTGTTTGCCCTTCTTTAAAAAAAAAAGATAAATAGGGGCGGGGGGAAAATGTTTTTTTTTTATTCATTTATTTAAAAAAAAATACTCATCAGATGGAAAAAAAATAACCCACAGATACGGGGTGCCGTTTGGGGTACATAATTATTTATGTAACAACAGAATTAGTTATGTACACATACTATTTTGACAGTAATGATTCTGTGGTACATAATTATTTCTGTAACAACAGAATGGCTATTTAAAGACATAATTATTAGTGTCCCAAACGGCGCCCCGTAACAGAGGCCTAGAATGGCAAAATCTTACATCAGACAACAACTTCAGACTAATTTGTAGGGCATCTGGCAAAAAATCAAGATAAATTTACTCACATTTTTTAAAATTTGTAATTTGTAATTTGTTTTTCCGCCCCTATTTTTTCAGTGAGTTAGGGGTGGGTGGAGGAGGGCAAACAAACAATTTTTTGGCCTTAATACATCGTGTAGCATAGCTCTCAACGAATGTTGTCCTATAAATAAATGAATAAATAAATAAAATGTGTAATAAAATGTCGCCGACGGGACTTGAACCTGCGACCTCTCGCTGTCAAGGCGAGCATCATAATCATTAGACTACAGTCTTCCCTAAAGAAGTGCGTGTTTTTATATTCTGTTTCCTGGTGATTATTTTATTCGTATTAATTGCACGACAATTGGTCACTGTGTTTAAAATATGGTAGGCGTATATGCAATATTTCAATTTGTTATTTGCTCCCTTTTGTTCTGTTATTTTAACAGGTCCGCGACGTAAACCTAAAGGAAATTGTACCATTCCAATTGATCTTGCAAATGCAGAGGTTGCCGATTGGTACCCTGGTGATGTTGTTCCACAAGGTACCAGACTTGTATTTTCTTGCAAGAAGGGGTATGCGATGAAAGGTAATGCCAAAGTTAAATGCAAGGGCAAACCAATCGTACCGCCAAAGTGTTATGGTAAGTAATAAACTCTCACTCACTCATACCCCATGATATTCCTCCTAATTTCAGATATTTCATATAATTTATATAATGATACGATATTTTCGTAAATAATATATAACCATATGGCAATGAATTTTAAAATAAATGCATATAATTGCATGTCTTTTACAGCTAATTGTAACGAAATAACAGTTTTTGACAACGGTGGTTTTAGGGGATCGTCTACTCATGGAAAAGAGTATACTTTCTGGTGCGATGTTGGATACAGCCTTATTGGTAAATCATCAATTAAGTGTTCTAATGGAGATTATTCGTCATCGATTCCAGATTGCAGAGGTTCGCAGTTTTTAAAGATTAATAATACAAATCATATGTTTATATAACTGATAAGACGCATAGCAAACTAACGTACGTTTAATAAACACAAGTGTATAATAATTATTTCTGTTTTCATGGTAGCTAACTGTCAACCAGTCACTTCATTCTTAAATGGTCGTTACACTGGTAATTCTGAACATGGGCTCGGTTATTCGTTTTCTTGCGATAAAGGTTACAGTTTAATCGGTGATGGAAATGTGAATTGTCGCGATGGTAAATACTCTTCTCCAATCCCAGAATGTAAAGGTAAGAAAAACAATAATAAACAGTGTTCCATATGTTAAATATTTTGTGATAAAATATTTGTACAGTGACACACTTGGATTTCCCTACATCACCTATTTTTTATTTTACTTTTTTTAAAGATAAATTTAGGCTTTACATTAACAGTAACAAAAGGCCTTCCAGATTCGCCTAATTTGATATGAAGGCCGTTATTTGTGACGTACAGTATACTGTAAGGAAGTTGATCAAAAGTGTAGTCAAGATTTGCAGATATCATTTCAGTGCTAGTTATGGGATCAATATATTGGACAAATGTATTCTCGAGAGACACGTCAATTATTTGATTTGTCTTTCTTCAATACACTTCTTTATAACACATTTTATAAGAACACCAAGGCTGAAATTTTTAAAAACAAGAACAAACACAAATTGAGGCTTAAAGCAGCAAAACCTCATTTATTGGTTCTTATAAAACAAATATAGGCCTATAGGCTTTAACAGGTTTTGGGTATTAGAAACAAGATCGGCTTAAACAATATAATAATTCCAAATAAAAGGCGACACGGCAATTAAATGAAAATACAATATATGTTGATAACAAAAAACCCTGTGGTATCATAATTACTGAAGGCGTTGTGTAATACCATTTATATGTTGAAGTTATGCTTATTTCTATAGCTGACTGTCTTGACCTGAAAACCTTAGCGAATGGTCGCATCATACCAGCCATTACTCATGGTGAAGAAGCCTTATTCATCTGTTATAAGGGTTACACGCTCGTTGGCGTGAATAAAACTCGCTGTATAGATGGGTCATATACAGATAAAATACCAACATGTGCAGGTACGGGTGGAATTGTACAGACACTATGTTAAGCATAATTTTAGCGGACCAGTAATGAATTGATATAATCACCGCAATTACTACCACTATCGTGATTATCACCGCCCCTCGTATTATCACCATTGTTGTTACTTAAACATCATCGTCGTCATCATCATCACTATCAACACCACCACAATCACCATCCTCCTCCTCCTCATCATCATCATCATCATTTTCATCATCCTCATTACAAACATCATTATTATCACTATCATTGTCGTCAACTAAAACTACCAACATTATCACTATCATATTATTTTATTATCATCATAGTTGATAATACTAATTAATATGGTGGGACCAACCTATTATTCTCATTAAAATATTTAAACGAAATGTATAATGATATTTTTTCACAGGAATCCTTAACGTAAACCTTAAAATCCAATTTATATTCTCATACCTCAGAAAATTGTGCCGAGGCAGTGGTACCACTGAACGGCTTAGCTGTAGGTGATTCATATCATGGTGCAAAGGTAACGTTTACATGTCAGCCGGGATTTACGTTGGATGGTGTTAATTCAACAACATGTATTAACGGCAGATATGAACATGAATCTCCTCGCTGTCGTTGTAAGTGGCATATACTTCATTTACTTTATGTACAATATGCATGTGACTAGGTGTCAAGGGCTCCTTGGTTTACTTGTTACTATTGAGTCTTACATGCTATTATTCAAATTATAAATTGTTAAAAATATTGTTGCATAGCTCGTAATATTGGAACAGTAATCGGATGGCGTTGGGTATACGAATCGGAATGAGAAAAATAAAAATCTCTAAATAAGTTAATATCATATGATGTATATACAGGTCTCCCTTCAATGAAAGACCCCTCCAATTTAAGGCCACCTCAAATTAAAGACCACTATTCTGTGGTCCCAAATTAACAAAATTCTTTTATCTTTATTATTCTGAGAGACCGAAGGTACTACCATGGAAACCCCTGTCCCAAAAGTGGTCTTTAATTGGAGAGAGACCTGTATTATATATGATAAAACAAATTCGAGAAAAAAGGGCCTATATATAATGTATGAGCATATTTATGATGTCGTGATACAGGAATATGAAAATGTGCAGTACTAATCTTCACTTTATCTTCATTCAATGAAAATGCTGCAGTAAAAGAATTAGGTAAAGTATTAATGTAAATGAATGTTCTCTGATCAAATGTGTTTGTTCTTTTTGTGATTTTGTAATGTAATCGTGTTTCAGTCAAAATTAAGATTTATGTAGCAAAGTGTTTCTAATCAATTTTAACGTTTGTATGCTAAGCATCTAGTAACCTACTTAACTCAGCCTAATACCGAACTATGAATCCTGGGGGGTAGGGACAACACTCACATAAGGATCTAGTGATCCGCAAAACCTAGCCTACTCTTAATGAACTATGCATCCTGGGGTAGGGACAACACTCGCATAAAGACCTTGCGATCCGCAAAACTTACTCTTACTGAACTTTCTATCCTGGGGTATGTACATCACACCACTAAGTTTCCGTGTGCCGCAAGCTTATTCTTACCGAACTAGCTACCCTTTAGAGGGAAAGTTACACCACCGGTTTCTGGTAACCCACATAATACTGACATTCCTTCACTGCCACCAGCAACGCCTACAGAATTATGAATCCAGGAGCACCTTTAGAGGGAAAGTTAGACCCGGTTTCTGGTAACCCACATATTCCATCCTAACATAACTTTAAAGCTTTACATTAGAACACTCCACTCTTACCAGCAACGCCCACATAATTATGAATCCAGGGCCACATCTATTCAAATATGTTAATTTTTAAGTATTTCTGTAAGCGTATTCAAACACTCTTTTAAACTTTAAAACATAATATTAAATTTCTTATTCTACTACCAGCTCTATGTGATGATAAGATAGAAGTTGTTGGTGGTACTTATTCTGGTTCAGTTAATCACGGCCAAACGATACACATCCAATGTAACACTGGTTATACTTTGGAAGGTGACGGTATAGTGGCATGTAATATGAATGGGAGGCTCAACTCAAGTTTAGAAGTTTGTAAAGGTAAGCTAAACAATTTGACAACTATTAATAGGGGCCTATGTTATCAACACTCGATGGCCACTGCTTTATAAATCCCTCTTTTAAAGAGTGTCACTGTGTCTGCCAAACTGTAATACTGCACATACTCAGAGCTTTAATATGTACTAGTTTTTCAATAGTTTATTAAATTGTTTGCTTTCAGTACGGTAGTTATTAAGACTTGATGTTGATTTGTTCTTAAATGATTTTCACTTGACATAGCACATCATCCAAATGTTCAAGAATACGATTCTGTATATATGGGCTTGAAGGCATTGACTTAATTTTCTGTCAGATGTGAGTAGGTCATGCATCCCGAATGGCAGCCGATGCCCAAGAAAAAGATTGGTTGCCATAAACCTGTGTTGAGGCTCGAATTAAATGTGCTAGAAGAGAAAATATATATCCTGACCTCAATTATATCTTATAATTAGGCCTATATGTGCGTTTATTGTCATTACCAGAAAAAAGTAAATTAATTGAAATGAAGGTAATTCATATTTCCCATTTGCATCTGACAGTTCATTTGTTGTTTGATTTATATGAAATTTATAAAATTAAGTATGGAAGTGTCGTGTTCATATACGCGACGAAGTGTTGAAACTGGCACTCGAATAAACTAAACATAAAAATTAAGAATTGATGAGTATTGTATTATCTAATTTCAGCTAAATGCCAACGTCCCAATCTTGCCAATGGGTACGTATCGGGAGATCCCGTCCACGGTGAACAAATAACATACACATGCATCGAAGGATTCACAATGCAAGGCTCTAGTACAACAACATGCAACGACGGGAACTACGAAGACCGATCTCCTGTATGTCAAGGTAAGTTGAAATGCAAGCAGAAAATACACAAGCATTGTTCCCATAGAATCGCTACACGCTATCACAGACTCCTTTGGCGACGCTGATTAGTCAGTTTAATTTAGCTTGATTTACACATAATCGCTACACTGTTTTTAGTACAATCGTAGTATGCGTAGCAGTTCCCGACGCAATCGGAAAGACTCCGATTCGACCGAAAGCTCAGCATCACCGAAAATCTATCGGCGATAGCGTGTGCGTTGGTATGGAAACCAAGCTTCAGTGGGAGCGTTCCCGATTTCATCGGGGACGGCTACGCAGTGCAAGGATTGCAGTGAAAACGCTGTAGCGACTGTGTAGCGATTGTAGAAACCAAGCTTTATAAAGACAAACCTTCAAAACATGAAAACTCACGGCTCTATACCTAGAAAAATCATACAAAACAATTCCCCAAGACCCACCACCACCACATATACATCAAGGTAAGATCAGTACGCTTAACAGTTGAGTACATCCAGGTCTCTTTCACTTGCTTATGCCTCAGAAATGCGAACCAGGAGCCATTTTGTATACAATTATGAACATATGATGTTATCTATTAAGTGTTCAATTGCTTTGATTCGAATGAATTAGTAGAAATTAAGTACCGGTAAATAATTGACAAGTAATGTTTTCTTTTTGTATTTTAAGCTAAATGCCAACTTCCAAACCTTGCCAATGGTGACGTATCTGGAGGTGACGTATCTGGAGATTCCGTCCACGGTGGACAAATAACATACACATGCAACGAAGGATTCACACTAGAGGGTTCTAATACAACAACGTGCAACGACGGGAACTATCAGGACCCACCCCCTCTATGTCGAGGTAAGTTGAAACTTGAAACATGCAATTTCATTTTTTTCAAGAACAGTTCCTTCTGTCATGTGTCAAACATACTTACAGTTAAAAAAAAAAAACAAACCACTGCAAAAAAAGAAAAGTAAGATAAGACTAACTAGAAATATTTTTTTTCACACTATTTGAGATAACTACAGTAATTCTGTTACAGCAAAATGTGATAGTTCAACCGTAATACCTTTCGGAAATTACACTGGATCTCTCATTCATGGAACATCGATTCAAGTGACGTGTCATCTTGGTTATAAACTTGTGGGTGATGGCGAGATAATGTGTAAGGATGGCCAGTTTACTTCCAACCTGAATGTCTGTAAAGGTAATAATAATGAGTGTTTTCATTGTTTATAATAAGTCATTTCGTTAGTCTGAATTGCGCATGCGCATATCCAAGGCCAATCGACAAAAAACTTTGTTGTGTGTATGTGATGTATGTTTGTTTCTCTGTCGATCGACCTTGATATAGACAGACTATGAAATGGCCTAATAATATCTCTTCATAATAAAGTTTTATTCCGCCTTCGATTGTACTGTTAAGAAGAGAAAGTTGTGCTCTCGACGGAAGTTGAATAACAAAACATTTCAGATCTTAACATTAACAAACGTTAATGATACATTATGAAGCATCTTTTCTTATGATATCTTTATGATCTTTCCATCTATATTTTTTACCCGCATCCATTGCTAAGTAATCCACATTTTTTTCATAATGCCTTTGTTTGCAATTGCAGCTTCCTGTTCTCCTCCATTTTCTTTCACCAATGGCGAAATGACTGGGGATTTTTCACATGGCGGACACATTGTATTTGGCTGTGACCCTGGCTATAAGCTTGACGGAGCGTCGTCAACAACGTGTGTAGATGGAAGCTTACAAGACCCTGTTCCTACCTGTCTTGGTGAGTATACTGTGATAAAATAGAACTTTCTCAATTGTCAATCAAACTTGACCAACTAAAACAGCTCCAGCTATTCGCGTTGTACCACAAACATTTTTGTTGTCCTACAAACGCAGGTGCTTACATGCGTATACGCTGCGTTTTGCAAGAAAAGAAATAATACCAAATGTGGGCCCAATGTTTATTGTGCTTTTAACTACTGAGAGAGTCATTTGAACGCACAGAATAAAGCATACTGTATGATTCCTATATTAATTATTTACTTAAAACCTTGCGTTGTCAGTTTTAAGTACTTTTGCAGCCTGTATTGGACTAAAACTGGAATGTTTTGAAGTTGTTACCATATTTCATCATCTAAAGTGAGCATTTTTCATCACAGAGATAATGTTTATCATAGGCCTATGCCTTTCTCATTGTTTTAGCGTTGTGTACTCCCGATAGCCCTGCGAACGGGACCGTGACAGGAGACTTCACACATGGGGGACAAGTACAATTCAGCTGTTTTACAGGTTTTGCTCTCGATGGTGTTAATATGACAACATGTGACAATGGAAACCTCAAAGACCCGGTCCCATTTTGTCGAGGTATGTACCAAAGGTCACGCTCGTATACTGTAGTACTATTATGTAATAATATTGAAAGACTACGGTACCAATATTTTTTTCATATGTGAATGTAGGACTATTTTTTTTAGTGAAATTAATGATGTGAACATCAGATTTAATTGCGTAATATCATAGTCCTTCAAACCCAACCGACGTAATTTAGTAAGGGCTTAGGTTCGATAATACTTGATGCGAAAATACGTTACATCTTATATGCCAGAATATATCAAATTAATATAATCTTAGAAGGGTTAATCTATAACAGATTCAATTTTTACAAGATTTTAATTCATGATATATACAGCATAGTATTAGCAAATGTGCTTATGCTTTTAACCGTTTCTATAACATCCAGCAAAATGCCCAGAACTTTCTGCACCGGAGAATGGAATCCTTGAGACTTTTGATAATATCCACGATGGTATTACAACATTCAAATGCTTAGACGGTTTTACATTAGATGGTGCTGAAACATTGAAATGCATCGGCGGACATTATGATAACAAACAGCCTACGTGTGCTAGTGAGTTATATCCTTGTATTAACCAACAAAAACGATATTAAACTGATCTTTTCTTATATATGATATGAACTTAAAACACTGAAAAACAGCAAGTGAGGGCTCGCACATGCATGAGTAAATACTTTAAACCTCAGAATACATGAATCAAAAGTGGCTGAGACGGATTGGTATACTCAATTCGTAGGGGTGTTTATTTAAAGGAATAATGGCAATAGTTATCTACGTATTTATAATAAACTAACNNNCCCCCCCCCCCCCACCCACAAAAAAGTGAACTAAACCACAATTATGATAGGCTAATCCTAACCAACAGTTTTATTGTTGCTATGATATTGACATTTTAACGCTCATTTAACTTACCAGGCGGATGCACACCACCGAATCCTCCCGTTAACGGATACATCACTCCTGGCAGCAGCTACGGGCATGGTGATACGGTATTTTTCAAGTGTGATAGGGATTACAGCTTAGTTGGTGCTAAAAAGGACACGTGTAAAGACGGCCAATATAAATATGATGCCCCGATTTGTAAAAGTAGGCACGGAATCTTATGAATTATGATACAATTACAATTTGTGTTTACATGCTCCAAAATTATTGGTTTCAATCTATTTCGTTCCCAAACAGTGAGTTTTAAGCAGTGAATGGAATTTTTTTTAACTTTAACTAAGATTTTTTTTTTCAATTCAGAGAAATGCCCACGCCAAAAGGAATTCCCTAAAGGTGAAATTAATTCAAACCGCGGGCATCTTGGCGTCACAACATTTAAGTGTTACGAGGGCTTCACGTTGGTAGGTGTCAACGAGACAAAATGTTTTAACGGAGAATACCAGGATGAAACTCCTATATGCCACGGTAAACACAATAGTTATGTATGATACAGCCAACGACGAACACTGTAAAACCAGCGTGGAGGATTTAAACACAAGGCTAAACGTCTTTAGGCATGGTCTAATGTGTTTAGGTTCCTGACATGTTTAGCAATAAATCATATGGGTTGGACAGCATGACATTAAATACTTAAGCACATTTTAGTATGGAAATTACACTACTAGAATACCACTCAGTGTCATAATCATTCATTGTCATTACGGTATACATTGGAAAAACTGTTTACAGTATGTTTTCTTTTATACCATATTTATTTATTTATGTATGTGTGATACGGTATGATTTTAAGCCCTGTCCAAAATATAACATTTCTTTTGACAAAAAGATGTGACATGCCTAAATATGGTCATGATGACATCACATCAGAACCATATATAGGTACATCATAGATATATATGGGCATACAATAGTTTTTTGTTGTCAAAGAAAATTTGATACAGAACTGACGAGTAAACAGGTCACTAAAGTCGAAAATCCGCCAATTATATCTAGCTTGTTATTTTCTAGAAAATTGCAAGCCACCAGACGACATCGAACATGGGTCGTATTCCGGCGAACTTACACACGGAGGTGTTATAACATATTCCTGTTCTATAGGCCGTTCAGTTATTGGTAACTCACAACGTAACTGTTCTGATGGAATTTTAAGTGGCACTGATCCAGAATGTCGAAGTTAGTAGTCCTATAATACCCATCTGTAAATATACTTTTTTCATGGCATCATACAATTTAATTGTCCATTTAAAAGCTATAATTTATCAATTCGATCTATACTACTTCTACGAAGTTTACATAAGGAGAAAACAAGGTACGGTTTTGTGACAAACCCCTTTACATTTTAATTAAGATATTTTCCTTTAAAGTGTATTTTAAAATCTTCCTATAATACAATAAAAAAAAATCATAAAACTATCGGTACACCATGTGTAAAGATATGGTTTTTAAGGTAAAACCACTAGTTGGTTGTCTTACTCGACATTTCGGTGAGATTGCTCTGATGACGGTCGAGACAACTAACTAGTGGTTTTGCCTCAAAGACCATATTTTTACACATGGCGTACCGAAAGATTTTGTTATTGATACTTGGCACACCTTTAAGAAATATTTTATAATACAATAATTAAAAAAATTGCTGATAATATTCCACACTTGTATATATATTTACAGAAATGTGCGCAGAATTTGATTTTCCGAACGGTGTAGTCACAGGCGAACGGGTGCACAATGCGTCTCTAACTTTCAGTTGTGACGAAAACTACATCCTGGAAGGTCAGAGTTCAATGTTGTGTATTGATGGCGTCTACAATGATAACATCCCGCGATGTGTTGGTAACTACTTTTTTCTTAACTTATTAAAAAATAATAGAATCAAACTAGATTTCATGAAATCAGATTTACTAATAATATCAAAATATGAATATTAGTTAAAAAGATAAATTGTTAATTCAAAGTCATTGACAATTATATAATGGAATGTCGATGAAATCATACAATGGAATAGCGATGAACTTTATTATATGGTTAATCTATGGTGCCAAAAGAATCTTAAGTTATAATATGTACCGAAATGTTTGTTCAAACTACTTTAAAAATTATCTAACGGCTGTGAATATTAAAATGGTGAATGTAATTGCCATTACATGACCTACAGATTCTTAATTTTAACGAAAAATTATTTGACTTCATTTTATGTCTGAAGCGCCGAATCAGAGATTAATCTTAAAGCAGGGTAAGTTATTTATGGGTAGTCATGGGTATAACATTTTACTCTGTGCACTTGGTCTTATTCCTGTCAATGTATAGTTTTTTTAAATTTTTTTACTTTAATTCATTTTGGCCAACGTGGTAATTACTTAGGCCTATCTTTACTTATCAGTTTCCTGATTTACACAGCACCACTATCTTTCGACTGTTCAGTGTCTGTTTATTGTTTGTAAAGGAGAAGACGATGTTTCAATATTGAAATTGTTAAAACATATTTTAGGTGCCTGAGTAATATACATAGTGCTGTCCAGCTACCTATGCGTCTGAAAAATTTGATGTTTTAATCGGATTTGAATTCCCAACAAAGTCTCAATGAGGACTCAGATGATCAAGGCGTCTACATAGGCAGCAGAAGGTCTCGGGTTCGAATCCCGGTTGAGGCAACTTTTTTTTTTTGCACTGGAAGATTCCACATTTTCAACCTTGAAAATGTATAGAGCATTACCCCAAGGCGGCTTAGAGATTATCTCTATTACATCTTGATTTATTTACAAAAAAAGTATCTAGTCGGAGATCCGGTCTTTTCGTCAAATGTTTTAAGAAGAGGGTGTATCATATTGATCTCTGTTATTTGCCATGTATCAAGGACTAGTGCTGTCCAACACGCATGCGCAAGAGTGCGAAGAATCAATTGCTTCAACAGAATTTGAATTTCCAACGAAGCCTAAATGGCTCAGTTAGTTAAGGCGTCTGCAAGACAGCAGAAGGGCCCGTGTTCGAATCCCGGTTGAGGCATCAATGTGAAGAAAGCCTTTAGGTATCAGACTAATACCTTTTGTATAACGGCCACCTGGGTCGTCTTAATGTAAAATCTGTGTACCAATGCTAATATCGATATTTCAGATAGGCCTACTTTGTATTAGAAGACAATATAAACACATTCTTTATAAACATGTTTAATAAAGCCAACCTAGATGGAAGCAGTTAGAGTTCTAACTCTTGATTTAGAAAATTCTCCACTAGCAAAGAGCACAATTCTTAATGGTGAGTTAATCCCAAGTAATGGTAAAGTGCACTACATCTCATTAGACACTGGACCATGGATACACTGTTTTCATATGTCACAATGCACGAGAAAGCCATTATATGCGAAACTTGGGATTTTATAATTATGAATAAGAATGCACTTTTCATGATGCTTCAATCCCTATTTAAGAAGCTTAATTTTTTTCAATTTGAACGATTGTCGAAGCCCACCCGCATGACGTCACATTATTGATTAAAGGTCTATTTCTGTATATTTCAGTATTGTTAAATGTATACTGTATTGTTTTACTGCATGAAATTTAATGTGAACATGTTGATAATTAGTTTTTACTGCATTGAAGAGGACGTAAAGGTAACATACAAGATACGTTAAATCATGAAACGAAAGGTATTCATGTTGTTACAGTGTCATGTAGAATAAATACCATGATATTTGTAAATGACTTTTATGTAAGTTAATGTTTACGTCGTCCGCAGATACGTTCGGGTTAATTGTATATAACGCGTGCGTGTCACGCAGTCAATAACTGTGTTTGTGTTTTCTCCAACACTCTTGTAACAATCTGATATTTATTCTAAATTTAGACTCCTGCAAGGAACTGAAAATGGAGCATGGTACCGTGACTGGAGATTTCACTCACAATTCGAAAGTCCGTTTTACTTGTTTTGAAGGCTATAAACTTGTTGGTACACCTGAGATTACCTGTTTAGGTGGTATATATGCTTCTGAAGCACCGACTTGTCTCAGTAAGGCATCATTCATATCTATTGGTAGTACCTTATGTCAGATATACCATATTTTTGCAATTGGTGATGTAATTTTCATTTTGAGATTATAAGTTTGATTTTACTTAGTTGAACAGTGTTTGTCTTTATTTAACGTTTAAAGCAGAAATTCCATTCAGAAACAAGACATATTTATCTTTATTATTATTATCATCATCCTCCTCCTCCTTATTATCGTCATTATCACTGTCATCATAATCATCATCAGTATCCATCATCACCATCATCATTACCGCCACCATCATCGCGCGCCACCATCATCATCATTGCAACAGAACGGGAGAGGCAGTGGATGACGGCTTGTCAGCACGCTAAGTCCGCCTACTGTTCACACAGCGCATTCATCATTTTCTCTTCGTGGTCATCATTATTATATAATTTTATCATCATCAATATCATCGTTGCATTTTTCTTTTTTACTTAATTACGATAGAAAATTGTGAAGATCCCGGTACTCCCATAGACGGTTCCAAAACTTTTGCTAACTTTGACCATGGAGAAAAAGTAACATTTGAATGCATCGCTGACTTCACATTGGTTGGAAATAAAACGATAGTTTGCAAAGACGGAAGCTGGAGTAACGCAATACCAAGTTGTTCACGTAAGTATCAAAGTTAAAAATGTCTTCAGTATTTTGACTAATGCTAAGGTTCGCCAGCGGCGACCGTGCACACGTACAAGTGGACGACTCGACGGCAGATGCCGAAAGAACGTTGTTGAGTACCAGCATGGAATAAATTAATCTAACGGAGTTGATTAAAAAAAGGTCATTCTAATTTAAGATGATAATAAATTATTTATATTTTATATTATTTATATAGATCTAAATGTTAATGTTCTAGATGTTTTAGAACCTGTTTATTTTTTTCTGCGTTCAGCTTGCTCGGACGGTCAAACCTTTTATAATGGAACCTGCTTCTCTAAACATTTTGAGCGTTTAGAGATCCTCAGTGCCAAGCAAAGTTGTAAACTAAAAGGAGGACATCTTGCTACATACACTACCAGAGAAGAACTTATGAACGTCACGACAAACATCGGAGGCTACTATGCAATTGGTATCGAGGCATCTGGAAATGATTGGAAACAAGTAACTAGCGAAACCTCAGACTTTGTAAACTGGGCACCTCTCAATTGCGTGTATCTATCACAGACTCGAGGATACAGATGGTCCAATAGCAACCCATGTACACAGAAGATGCAGTATATATGTGAATATAGCTATAGTATGTATAAAATATATTCGTAATTTCTTAATTTTTAATGTGGATCAACAATTTTGTAACTTTCAATGGTTCGTCAGAAAAAAAAGTGGGGCTGTGATAATGCCAGAGAGAACTCTAGGGAGTCGCATGCGTGTATTAGTTGTGTGTTGAAGTGTATCTGGTTGAATGAAATCTGTGACAATACCAATGGTCTCTGTGGTCTACAGGTTTGACGCTTGTCTTGCAAGCATGAGATTCGCGTCGCGCACGACTGTTAAGGAACTTTTTCAAGAGAATATAATACAATGATTAGGCCTACAATTGTATTGCTGTTGCACTGTACGTTTATCATTTTCATTTCATAATTATATATTTCAGCTCGATCAATTCCTTCACCCTGTGTTCTTAACTCGGTAAACTATAACGGTCATAGTTATACAGCGATGGGATTTGGTAACAGGAAGACTTGGAGAGAAGCGCGCGACGCTTGCACAGAAGACAACGGTCAACTTATTGTTATAGACAACTACCAAGAACAAGATAGGATAAATAGCTTTTTAAAAGAATGTGGGCCGTATGAGTCGGATAGTTTCTGGATTGGTCTGATAAGAGAAGATAGTAATTCAGAATGGGGATGGATAAATAACTCTCCGTTAACATTCAATTTTTGGCCTGATTTCCAGTGCGCTTTTCTATCAGATGACGAGGATAGACATTGGTACACAGCACCGTGCGAAAACGGAGAACTGATGTACATATGTGAGAGAGGGGGTGCTGTTTGTAAGTTGTTTACCAACTTTTGGTTATATATATATATACATACATATATACATATATATACATATATTTATGTATATGTATGCTATGACAGTGATCGAATAGGCAAGATGTGTATAAGAGACAGCTATTACATCTTGATTTATTTACAAAAAAAGTATCTAGTCGGAGATCCGGTCTTTTCGTCAAATGTTTTAAGAAGAGGGTGTATC